AAGAGAAAGAAAGTGTAGTGTTGTAGGTGGGAAGGTTGGGAGGACCTGGGAGGGGAAACCATGATCAAAATATATTGTAAGGAAAAAAACATATTTTTAATTAAGAAAAAAAAAGCATTGGCTGTTTTTGCAGAGGATCTGGGTTCCATTCCCAATATCTACATGGTGCTTAACTTCCACCTTTAACCCCAGTTCCAGGGGAACCAACATCTTCTTCTGGACCTTACAGGCACCAGGCACACAAGTGATAGGTACACAGATACGCATGCAAGCAAAACACGCACATACATAAAGTGTCATTCAAAAAATAAAGGCCTATGTCGGGAGTATGTTCACTACAGAAAACCTTTTCTAAGGGACATAAAATGATGTGGTTTGGTTAGGTCATTTGGTTTCCACAAAACCAAAGCCATCAGCACCACCCAATTTCATCACTTGGGGTAACCAGGACTACATAATAGTTCTTTACTTCCGTCCTCCTGCCCAAAGCAGGACCATACCTATCTGGCATCTGATGGCTGGGGTCTTAGTAACCCTCTATTTCTTTCCTGTAAGTACCCCTGGAGCTCAACTCTCTACGGTACCCATTTGCTTTCTGCTGACAGGGTTTCATTGTGTGGCCGATTGTCCTGGAACTCACTATGCAGAGCAGACTGATGTTGAACTCACCAAGATCCACCTGCCTTTGCCTCAGAAGTGCTAGGATTAAAGGCGTGCGCCGCCACCACCCAGGTTTGTCTCCATTCTTTATCCTGGTTTTAGTGTTGAGCCTGCCTCTTGCAGCTCATGGGACTAGCTCACTCAGAGACAGCGGCAGGCGGCCTGGAAGTTGTCCACACAGCCGCCAGGATCCTGTCAGAAAGCCACTGCATGACTTGAAGAGCCTGACTTCCTAGATGTGGTCCTCCTGAGTGTGGAGGCTCAAATAGGGCCAGAGAATCTGAGCATGCTCTACCCAGCAGGGCTGTGTAAGGGGATGATTTGACCACGGGTGTGGTTGCCAGGGGTTTGGAAGGGTCTACACTTGGCTGTACTTTGATCTAGCAAGGGGGAGAGGTCTTTTGCCCTGCCCCTTGGCATTGTTATAAAAAGCCCGTTTGAAGAGGCAGAAGGAGCTGTTGGGTATTGACTCAGGTCCTCCTGAAGCAATCCTGTGTTTCTGTCTTTCTCTTCTTCACTATCTCTCTATCTAAAAGTTTCTTACCCCTCTCCCCTCTTCATAGAAACCCTTTAAAGGGTGGGAGCTGGCCTCTCACAGATGGCGCCAGAACTAGGAACTTAGGTGCAGAGGAAGTGAGAGTAGGGAACACCGGGGAAGCAGTTGGACATGTCTGGTTTTGTATTAAGATTGAGGCGGTGGTATTTTATTTTTTGGGAGCAAAATCTGTATATAGAAAAGTTAGGCTGCAGCAATATCTCTCTCTGTCTAGGTTTCTCTCTTTCTCTCTCAGTCTCTATCTACTAAATTAGATCTAAAAATGGTAGTATAAGTAAGTCATAGAAGTTTTTTGAAGTTTTAGTTTGAGAAGTGTAGGCTTAGGTACATTAGGGTAGAATAGCCTTTAGATATACAGATATTGTGTAGGCTTAATAGGGAGGAACTTAGGGTAAGAGCAGATTTTTCTGGAGCAGGACCTGGAGCGCACAGGGCAGCATCCAGGACTGAGCAGACACTGCAGGCCTGGCAGTCCGAAAATGAAGGGTAGCTTCAGAAACTGCCAGCTTCAAAGGCCCCCACCGCAAACGGCAGCAGCCAGGCATCCGCAGCTGAAACCCTCAGGGCATCACAGCAGTGCAGGAGGCAGCCGCCAGAGCCAGCGCAGGCAGCAGGATTCTGCCTGCTTTCCACCAGGAAGGAGTTGCAGAGGAGAGCACAGTCAGTCAGCCAGCTGGAGAGACATGGCTTGAGCAGTGGTGAGCAGCGGAGACTGTAGAGATGAGGCTGCTTCTCTGGGCAGAGAAGCGGGGTCAGCGGCTGGACGAGCAGCTGAGATGCGTTGGAGCCCAGGGAACTGCTGGGGTGAGGCAGAGAAGCTGGAACCTAGGCCAGCCCAAGCTCCCAGCAAGTGGAGCCTTGCGGCTGGTTGCGTTTGGCCATGCAAACAAGGCAGAGCATGGTATGCAAGGATCACTGGGAGAGCAGGTAATATAGCCATGACCGGCCGTGGCTGTGTTTTCTCCCAAACCTGAGGTGCTGAGCAAGGGGCTCCCAGTGGAGCCAGTAATGGGACCCGAGGAAGCCGCAGTACATAGCAGCTAAGTTTCCTAGGGGACCTAGGAGGGCTGCTTGAGAACTGTAACTTGTAGCAGCAGGGAGGCATTCAACTATGCAGCAAGGTGGTTGGGAGCCCCCAGGGCCTCAGGACTGGGATTGTAAAAGCCAAAATGAATGAAGCCAGCAGCTAAAGTCACTCAGTTTCTGTCTGTTGGCTGTAAGAAGGTCTGTTTTGAAAGGACTCTGCCCTAGCCAGCTAGCAGCTTTTGCCCTGAAGCAGTTTTCGCCCAGGGGAAAGCTAACTGAAAGTGTCTCTGTGGCTGAGACTGAAAGTTTCAGAGACCCTCGTTTGAACTAGAATTGCTAACTACAAAAAGGTTTTGGTTATGGGTTCAGTGGAACATTAAGACTGGTATCAAAACTTACTTTTTGAACTCTTCAGACTTCAAGAAATAAGATGGACAGGAGTGATTCAATTGCAATGGTACAATTTTGACTTTACCTACACATATATATTCTATCAACTGTGATGACTTATGAATTATTTTGTGTATGCAAATATGCTTTATTAACTGTGGTGATTCACGAATTGTTTTGTGTTAAAAATGGAAGTGTTTAAATGGAGAAGTTTGGGTTTTTTCCTAACCAGGCTCAAGATGAAGCTTAAAAAAATTATAAAGAAAAGGGGGAGTTAATATTCCTTAGTCTCTTTAATTTTTAAAAAAAATATTTTCTTGTCCCTTGAGTGGACTGATGTTAACTTGTGTTAATGTACCTGATGTTTGGTATAGTTCTATTAAGAAATTGTTTTTGGATGTTTGCTAAAGTCTATGAGATGTAAATAGTTCTGTTAAGAGATTGCTTTTGGATGTTTGCTAAGTCTATGAAGTGTAGAGTTTGCTTTTGGATCTAAGTTTATAAGAATTGTAAATATGTATAGTCATATGCATGCTAGAATTGTGTTAACCTGTTGATATTGATGAACCATTGTTTGGTAAAGCTAAGGGAGTCTTTAGGTTTGATGTTGTTGCATCAGGAGTTTACTAATTTATTTGATGTGGTTGTGTCAGGAGCTGGTTGATTTAAAAAAGGGCTTGGTACAGCTAAGACTGCTATAGACATCTTAGATCCATTCAAAAAGGGCATTCCATCTTGGTCATCTTCTACCCCTTTACTGGGAGATGTGGCAGCCCTAGGGAGCAGGAGTATTGCTAGTTAATTTTAGCTATTTGCAAGTTCTTAGTGAAAAAGCTGATTCAGAGTCACATAGAGTTAAATTCTGTATCCCCACTTGAGATTTGTATTATTAAGAAGGGGGAATTTGTGGAGGCCCAAATTACTCAGGGTCCTAGAATCTGAGCTTGCTTTACCCAGCAGGGGCTGCATAAAGGGATGATTTGACCACAGGCGTGGTTACCAGGTGTTTGGAAGGTTCTACACTTGACTGTACCATGTGCTTTGATCTAGCAAGGGGGAGGTCTTTTGCCCTGCCCCTTGTCATTGTTACAAAAAGCTCTTTTGGACTTCCAGCCCAGTAGATGATGCTGCCATGGCGTGTAATGTGTTGTACCCCCTCTACCAGCTGGGTGGCCCCCAGCTCCGTGTATTCTGAACCAACTTCATCCAGCTGGTGTGGCCTGATACTGCCCTGTCTGAAGATACTGTGCAATTCCGGATCCCCATGGAGATGACCAGGGTGGACCTCCGGAATTACCTGGAGCAAATTTACAACATTCCTGTGGCTGCAGTGCGCCCATGGGTGCAGCATGGCTCCAACAGGAGGAGAAACAACAAGAATGTAAGGATCAAGACGCCAGACTACAAAGTGGCCTACATGCAGCTGGCCCATGGGCAGACCTTCACCTTCCCAGATCCCCCCCCCCCCCCCCCCCCCCCCCCCCCCCCCCCCCCCCCCCCCCCCGAGAAAGAGCCCAGTCCCCGGATGCCCTGGTATCCCTTCTTGGTTTGGCCTCTGACCTGTGATAATGGGGCTGGGCCCCAGACCTAGTGAGCACAGTGGTTCTGACAAACGCAAATAAAAATCCTTTGTGGAGGAAAAAAAAAAAAAAAGCCCTTTTGAAGAGGCAGAAGGTCCTCCTGAAGTTATCCTGCCTTTCTATCTAAAAGTTTCTTATTCTTCTCTCCTCCTCATAGGAACCCTTTAAAAAGTGGGAGCTGGCCTCCCACAACTGAGTGTAGCACATTAGTCCCTCTATTGTTACAGCAGTCTGAATTCACTAGCAGCTCAATGTGTTCCATCATTATGAAGACGGGCTAGATTCAATGAACCAGAAAACCTGTACAATTAATAAGGGCCCCTATATGATCAGGACACCATGAGCAACAGACCAACTCCCTGTTCCAACTACTGTGTGGACATGAGGTCTTTTGCCATGTGGACTCTAAGGTCATAGTTACTGAGTATAGAAATAAAAGGCTTCCCAAGTGCTGGGATTCCTGTTGTGAATCACCATGCCCACTCTTGTGTGTGCCTCGAGGACCACACTACCCATTCCATGGGCTTTTCAAAATGGCACTGAAAAAAATCATTGTTGTGCACGAGGCTGGCCCAGAAAGACACTTCAGAGTTTAAAGACTCCAGGAAGGCATCAATACAAAACATGGTATTGATGATATTGAAGTGGTGTGCTCAAGCAACTATCCAGCTGTGCCACAGGGCTTCTGAAGCTTGAGGGTGTTTCAGTCACCTGTGCCGCAACCCGCGCAGCTGGAGCACGAAATCTGGCGAGGGACGCCGAGGTTAAACAGCACTCTAGACACCCAGTTTCAGTTCGTCAGGGAAGCAGCTCTTTATTGTACCAACATGGGCTTATACACCCCTCTAACAGCAGGAGTCAAGGAATGGTTACTCTGTATCCGTAGGCAAGCCGGACACTGTTTTCCAAACAGGAAAAACCACAGGGGAACTGATCCCCAGCACCCTCCGGAACCCAACTGCACATTTTTACACAAACAACTGGGACAGGACAGAAAAGGGCATTTAAGATTAAGGCGGCAAACTCACTGCTGCCGACAACCTGGAGATGGTTGAAGCAGATTTCCTCTCTGGGCCTAACATCCCTGGAACTGATACCAGTGGATGTGGATGTATGGTGCAGGAGTGGGGTGGGGAGGGAGAGCTGAGGGCTGAGGTCACAGTATGACAGGAGTGCTGTCAAGATCGGGGCTGGTGTTCCTTGGAATTTGTTTCAAATATTGTCTCAGGCTCCCAACTTCCAACAAATGCAAAACTCTAGGACCAGGACCAGTTATCAGTTTATAAGCAGCTGTCGAAGTGATGCTCGTGCCATGTTGAGTCTCAGCCTTGCAGCCATCTGCAGACCCACATCTTCCCCAAACCTCTCCCAAGCTCGCACTATTACTGGCCTTCCACATCCCGATGTCTCCAGCCCCTCGTTTCCCTCTGCAGTCTCCCTGAGGACGCACGTCCTTCACTCTCATTGACATCAGCTGTCATCTAAACTCGGGTCGCTTATTGTCCAGCCTCTAATTTATCTGCATCTGGAAATGATACTTGAAGCTTTTATTTTATTTTATTTTTTTAAAGATTTATTTATTATGTATACAGTGTTCTGCCTACATGTATGCCTGCAGGCCAGAAGAGGGCACCAGATCTCATTACAGATGGCTATGAGCCACCATGTGGTTGCTGGGAATTGAACTCAGGACCTTTGGAAGAGCAGCCAGTGCTCTTAACCACTGAGCCATCTCTCCAGCCCCATTTGAAGCTTTTAAAAGAATTTCAATGCTTTTCTTTAAGGGAAGGAAGGAAATGGCTGAGCCCAAGCTTACAATCACCAGCCAAGTTCTGGAATACTTGGCAGCTGGTAGGAAGAAGAGGTCAAGACTGCACGCTGTGTGGTGTGCTCATTTAGAGGGAGTGTAAAAATAAAAATTGAACACTCTGGGCTTCTCTGTTATTTCCTCTACCCCCAGCCTCTGAAGAAAGTGATAAATAAGAAAGTATCTCAAAGAAGGTGCTTTGCACACCGTCTGAGTGTAGACTCCAGAAGTCCACCTGCTGGAAGCTTACTGTCTAGTGTGGTGATGTTGACAGCAGGGGAACCTGTGATCAGGCCTTTAACAGGGAGTGCATTCTCATTAGAGAGTTGTTTTTTTTTTGTTTTTTTTGTTTTTTTTTTTTTTTTTGGTTTTTCGAGGCAGGGTTTCTCTGTAGCTTTGCGCCTTTCCTGGGACTCACTTGATAACCCAGGCTGGCCTCAAACTCACAGAGATCCGCCTGGCTCTGCCTCCCGAGTGCTGGGATTAAAGGCGTGCGCCACCACCGCCCGGCTCATTAGAGAGTTTTAAGCAAAGTGGTACCTCCCCTCAAACGCTCTTGCTTCCTGTCCCATCATGTGATCTCCCTGCTCCAGACACATTGCTCACTACTGTCATCCCACCCACAAGGCCCTCACCAGAACCAAGCAGATTCCAGGGCCATGCTCTTGAACTCCAGAACCCTGGTTTTTTCTATGCTGAGTTCCCATCCGCTAGCATTTTGTTATAACACCAAACAGACACGAGAGAGCTAAAGACTCAACATAATGCAAAATCAGACAAATATAGCCATGAAGAACAAATGTTCTCAATCTGGAACACACAGAGGTACATCTAATTGTCTCTAACAGCATGCACAAGGGTTCTGGGGGTTTATAGATGTACTATATAACAAGGGAAAGCATCCAGAGCCTTCATAGGATAGTGGAGGGACTGAGACCCAGATAGGGAAACTCATTCAACCATGAAGGTAAAGAAAGGGGATCGATTCACACACGGACATTTTAGGACGCATCAGGGATGGCGGAGTGCCCCCGGTTTGTGAAGTCTGCCAGCACACATCTGTGAACCCTGAAAATCTTCACAGTGTGATCTTCGCCACAGCTTGCGAACTGCAACCACTCAGTGCTCTCTCTCCGCTGAGTGTTCCTCCTGCTGCAGTTCTTCCAGGACAGCCTTCTGACACCAAGCGTGTGACTTTGGCTGCAACCAAGACAGAGAAGTCATAAGGTCGGCACAAGCCATGACTGCAGAATACCCCACGGGAAGTGCGTTTGCACAATGATGTAACCAGGGGGCCCGTACAGCTGTTCTAACACGGATGGAAGTCTAATACCCCAGTAATTTTATTCTATATTGAAAGTATCTTCCTCTGTTTACTTTCAAAACAGACTAATACCTCCTCACTGGCCAATGACACTGCCAAAACTGTCACATGTTTCAAGCATCAGTAGAATGACTGAAATGACCTTTGTTTTGTTTTTTGTTTTGTTTTCTTTCTTTTTTTTTTTTTTTTTTGGTTTTTTGAGACAGGGTTTCTCTGTGTAGCTTTGCGCCTTTCCTGGAACTCGCTTTGTAGACCAGGCTGGCCTCGAACTCACAGAGATCCGCCTGGCTCTGCCTCCCGAGTGCTGGGATTAAAGGCGTGTACCACCACCGCCCGGCTGTTTTGTTTTCTTAAGGTAGGGTTTCTCTGCATAGCCCTAGCTGGCCTGGAAACCAGAGATCTGCCTGCCTCTGCCTCCTGAGTGCTGGCCTGAAATGACTATTAAGGCCTCAGAGGCCAGCAAGACGTCTCAGTAGTTAAGGGCGCTTCCAACAAACCAGTCGACCTGTGAGAATCCAACTCCTCCAAGTAGACTCTAACCTCCACTCACACCATTTCATGTATATGCTCATATACAACACAAACACACATGTAAGTAAATGCAAAATTCCTTAAACTCTAGTCTTTCAAGATACCACCACTGGACGTATTTCCATTTTGTAATAGAGCCCAGGTTATTCTGTTCTGCTGACAGTGCCAGGAGATGGATGCTGGGTAAAAGAAAGACGCTGTAAACCCTCAGCGAACCGCACAGTGAGAGCCACACTCTTAGGGTGACCTAACTGCAGGGCACTGGGCAAGATAACAAACTCAACAGGAACAGGTTCCTGTTCCCCACAGGGCCCCAAAAAGCAGTCCTAAAATGCCGCCAAACCAATTAGCCATGGGTCTTGGAGAAAGTACAGTACTTTCCGTGTCAAACTTGTAAACACACACTCAAAATGAATGAAGTCCAGGGCAGCGGGTCAGCAGGCAAGAATGAGGTGCAAGTCTGAAGAAAGGGGATTGACAAACCAGCCTGAGTGCATACGAGCCTTATGGTACAGGAGACATAAGGTCTTTTCACTGAGACAGAGCACACAGACAGGATTCAGCCCAGGCAAGTTCGGTGAACTGGAGTTTACTGGGCTTACTCAAAAGAGCTTGGGAGACGGGTGGGCAACTACACATCTGTCAACTGTTCACCTTACATAATTTCAGAGAATGAGGGCCTCCCGAGGCTCCCCTGAAGGTCTGGTGCCCCCATACAAGGCATGCTAACAGGCCTGCTCTGCTTCAGCACAGGGAATCATGTCCAACCCAGAGATGTCAGATGTCACAGCTAACAAAAAACAGCCACAAGATGGTGCTGCTGTGTGCAATGTTTTCTGAGAACTTTCTAGAGGAAATGCTTCCATGTTATACAGACTATGACTTGACTGACTCAATGAGAGCCAATCTTTCTGTAAGGAGGAATCTGATTACTAAAGTGGCCATGAGTCACTTGGACACACTAATTAAAATGGTAGATTTACTGTGAATATCAAGCTCTATAAATATGGGTGCTGATTTTTAAAAGGCAAAGACTCCTGAACAACACTAAAAAACACTGTTACTGGTTTTCCTCATATCACAAGTTATCAAGGGTTAGGTTGGGACACAGTCTTGAAAGAGAAGCTCCAAAAGCAGTGCTCATGACAGCAACATCATAGAGGCCAACCACTAACAGCATTCCTTAAATACGTTTCTCTCATCCCATTAATGGTGGTCAATCAAATATACTCTGAAGGACAGAACTTACTTGTTTACTTAAAATGATGGTTTTTTTTTTTTGGTTTGTTTTATTAAATCTAACAACACAACACATTTAAAAGATAGAGACTTGGAGAAATGCTCAGTATGCAAAAGGGATCACCTGAATTTAAATCCACAGGACCCATTTAAAAAGCCAGACTAGCTACATACTCCTGTAACCTTGTGTGTGGAGTGTAGACAGGAAGACTGCTGGCCACCAGCCTAGCTCCAGATTCAATGAAAGACCTATTTCAAGTGACTATGACAGAGAGGACTAGAACAGGACACCTGATATCCTCTTCAGGCCTCTGCACATGTACAAGGAGATGGTAGCATGCTAGAACACACACGAACACATGAGTGCGCGCGCGCGCGCGCGCGCGCGCGCACACACACACACACACACACACACACAGAAATGCACGACACAGAGGACCATGCAGGTGCTCATCTCAACAGGCAAGAGAAAGGTTTAAGTTCAAGTCCAGGATGGGTTATACATCAAGTTCTAGGCCAAGCAGACCTATATAGTAAGACTGTCTCAAAAAGACAGACACAGACACAGACACAGACACACACACACACACACACACACCCCACATGAAGAGTGGGAAGGAGGGAAGAGGGAAGATAAAAAGAGATCTGGGGAGCTGAGGATGTAGCTCAGTGGTAAAGTACTTTCCTAACATGTTTAAGGCCTTGGGTTGAATTCCCAGCACCACAAAATTCATCAGTTAATTACAAGACATGGCCCTTAGGAAGCCAATCTGAAAGTCCTGCTTGTATTTCTGTGAATGCATCACTAGCAAAAAGTTAAAATTTAGTAATCAGAACATCAGCTATCCAAATAACACAATGTACTAAATCCAGAACTACTTTCATGTTACAAACCCTGTCATTACATGAGCAAAGAAAGAAATTGCCAAATGAAAACCCTGAACTCTGCACATCTTCCCAAGCTAAGTGGCTTCCTGCTCTGAGGCCACGATAGCAGTCTGAGTACCAAGCCGGGGGCAGAGCTCCGTGTACAGACAAGACAGAAGGAAGTGAAGGAAAGGAGAGGGCAAGGGCAAGAATGGGTGCAGTCAGATGAAGATGGACTGTCAGGGCTGCTTCCTTTTGTAGCAAGCTGAGCACAAGCTACTTCAACTGCAAGAACAAGACAGACACATATCTGAACAGTTACAGTGAGCACTAACAGACAAGCTCCTCTAGAAGACATGGATGTGCAAGGCCCGCGCTCTCTAATCTCACCCTCACCATGACACTGCGTTTAGAAAAGTATTTGAAATTCTCTTTAGACAGTACAGACTGGAAAGATTGAAAAGCCCAAGAAAATGAGAGACAGATATCCATGACTTACTGAAAGCTTAGGCATTTAAAACAATGAACAAGTGCTAAAAGGCAGACTACAATGACCTCTGCTGGGACTGGGGATGTAGCTTAGCTGGCAGAACGCTTGTCTCAGTGTACGAAGCCCTAGGTTCCATCCCAGGACCACACTGAAAAATGGGTGTGATGGTGAAGGCCTGTGAGCCCAGAACACAGGAGGTGGAAGCAGGCTCGGGACAAGAGACCCTGTCTTAGAAAGCAAAGGAGGAAGGAGAGAGGAGAGGGAAGGTGAGGCAGTCACGGATAATGTCTGTAAAAGCAGTATGACAGAAACCAGTAATCTAGTTGAGAAAGCCAAAACCTGATTCCAGCATACTAGCAAACATCATGTTAGGAGATACTATTTGGCTGTTAAGTACCAGAGACAGAGATTTCTGTCCCTCCCCATGAAAACAGCCAAAAAAATTGCTATCAAAGACAACCCTGTTCCTATCTAATCAGATGGAAGTAAAGTAGGAAGAAAATACCTTGAACTTGTTTCTACACACTGGATCCAGTCATTGACTTCTTGATTGGACTTTTTCCAGGAGAATAAACAAATCTTCCCACTCTCTAATCCGACTGCAACCACGTATCTGTTTTCAAGGGAGGGAGAACACAGGCTGGTTCAGTATGAATTTCTCTGATCTCTAACTGTTCAAGTCCTTCACAGTATCTCAATCATCCACACTGCGTCTGCTGTATCCCCAGCCTCCTCTCTGCAGAGGATGCATGAAGGTCCACCTGTCCTTAACAAGCTAGTGTTTTCCCAGCAGACTGCACCGACTCTGGTCTCCTGGGCTGCTTCTGACAAAGAAAGCAAGGTCACAGTGCATAGTCTGGAAGAAGAACCTTCACTCCTATGCCCGTCTGACTACTAATCATGGAATTCTAAGATTTAAAATATCTTTTTTCGTTTTGTTTTTTCGAGACAGGGTTTCTCTGTGTAGCCCTGGCTGTCTTGGAACTGGCTTTGAAGACCAGGCTAGCCTCAAACTCACAGATCCACCCGTCTCTGCCTCCCAAGTGCTGGGATTGAAGGCGTGGGCCGCCACCACCATCCGGCTGATGTAGACATTCTTATCAGAAGCATAAACACTTTGAAAGCAGCAGTAATGCTGAAGGGGGTCCACAAACCCAAACCAAAACTGAGATGCTACTGAAAAACCAAATCGGAAGAAACTGACCTTTGGGTTGGGTTCAGCACAGGGCAGACACTGACAGCTGTCACAGAACTGCCCACATCCAGGATAGAGGAGCAGGGGCCAATGCTGTGCTCCACGAGGTCATCGCTAGAGTTACACTCACCCCAGACGACCACCTACAATATAAATCACACTGTGAAGCTTTCTCTGCAAGGTTTCTAGTGGTGCATTCAAATTCCAGTAGATGATGAAAACTTTCTGCCCTGATTTTTTTGTGCATCACAAAGAAGTCACTGTGTGGTAGACACAGGTTGAGATCTCAGCTACAGAAGTGTATCCAAAGAGCATAAGTGTGATCTAGTCCGTTCTGTAACACCCTAAAATCCACCCATCGTGTCCTGGCTATAGATGCCACCCTCAGAACTTGCAATAGGTTTGTTGGAGAAGAAGTCAGTCTCCTTTTCTATGCTACCTAACGCTCAGTCAACTTGGCTGTCAGGAGGACAGAACTTTGACAGTACTCTGCTTCTCTGGGAGCCTAGGGCTCAAGGCTGTCTGACTGGCCAAAAAGAAATGGAGAAGGAAATAAATGGACAAGCTGCAAACGCAGAACCAAAGCATGATTCTGAACAGAGGCTTTGGGAAGATGCAGCAAGTGTAGTTGGTCTTTTTTAGTCACGCTATCCCCGAGAGCTAGGCAGAAGAGCCTGCTTCCTCAGCACCCAGCTGGGGATCCATGCTCAACACCAGGAAGGAAACAAACAGCCAGTCTCTCTAGTGAGAACCACCGCTGGCAGGCCCACACTTACATGTTTAACCTGGGTGTCACCAGGCCCAAGCTAGCACTGTTTCGGTTATCTGGAGTGTTCTCACTAGAAAGGGAAGAAACACTACACCATTCTACCAGCCCTGGACTAGGAAACTCAGAAAAGATGTTTCAAAGAACAGGACACCAGAGGGACAAGCAGGAGCTAGGGGCAGTCGTCAGGCAACAAGGGGAAGGGTGGGTTCAAACACAGGGCTGACTAACTTATCCTGAGTTTTTCAAGCTTCTGTCATGTTCTGCCCCTCTTCTGTCACTGAATTAAAAGATCATAACCTTTACTGCTGGAAAATGGGAGTCGGGGAGATGGCTGAGTCTTTAAAGGCTTGCCACACAAACACGAGAACCTGTGTTCGATTTCCAGTGTCTGTATTAAAACCAAAACCAAAACCAAAACCAACACCAACAAATCCCAAGCACGGTGCTGTACCCGAACCCAGCACGGATGCGGTGGACCGCATCATTGGAGCTGGCTCAGCAGCCACAGGGAAAGTGAGAAAGCTCACTCTCACCAGAGTACTGATGAGAAGATGGAGTGGTGTCTCAAGTCCTCTGCGCTCCTGGCCTCTCACTCGTAACAAAGAGCTGCTTCACTGTCTGATCACAGTAACTGACCAGAAGGTCTCTCCTCATGTGTCAGAGAAATACATTTGTGGAGTTAACAAGGAAACCCTTTCAATGTACACATATAATGGGGAAGCTGTGACTAACTTGTAAACATATCAGAAAGGCAGAATAATGTGCTTTTAAACAGAACTACAAAAACATTTTACATTTTAAGAAGTATTATTTTATCTTTTATTGAAAAAAAAATTTACCTTTTTGTCTCGACTTCCAGTGAAGAAAAACTTGCTATCAGGACTCCAGTCACAAGACCAGATGATTCTACTGTGCACAGAAGTGATTTTATTGGTGAATGCGAAGAGGCTGAAAACTGGGTCTGGGGCAAAGAACAAACACATACATTACACCCAATCAGGACAAGCAGCTCCTCTTCTAACCTGCAGCAAGGTCTGACTGACTGCCAACATCAACTCCTGGGCCACTTCACTCATGCATGCTGCACTCACCCAGTCTGCACTCACCCAGTCTGCACTCATGCATGCTGCATTCACCCAGTCTGCACTCACCCAGGCTGCACTCATACATGCTGCACTCACCCAGGCTGCAGTCACTCTACAGCAAATGCCAGGAACCCACCCCTCACCACAAGGCCATGTGCACAAGGCTCATGTTGCCTCCTTACTCTCTGGTGACTAACTAACAAAAATCTTTCATGCATTCAACTACAGGCTAATTTATGATTCTAAAAGAAGTCTGGGGTGATTTAACTGTACTCCAGAAGTAGCCAGATTTGCACATTAAGGGGAAAATACTACAAAGAGAGAAGGGAAGACGAGTTTTTTCATTAATATTTAAGCAGAAGGTCTAACAGTAACCTTTATATGGAACATGTAACTGCTTGTGAAGAGAGAAGAGGATAGATTTATCAATCCATAATCCAAGAAGATACAACAAATTAACACCTGCATCATTTATAGTACTTCAACTTTCTCGTTTGTGTTTCTTTCTAACATTTATTTATTTAGGGGGTGTGTATGTCCATGTGTGCACATGCATACACAAGTGCTTGTCAGAGAACAGTTTGTAGAGCTTGTCTCTCTCTTCCACATGTGCATTCCAGTGATTAGACTTGGTCCTCAGGCTGGTGGCAAGTGGCTTTACCTGCTGAGCCATCTCAGAGGTCCAGCACTTCAACTATTCAAATGAAATGCTGTAAGTTAGGAATTCACTAGTGATACCACAGGAAAACAAATGCTCCGAATTTACAGTGGCTTTACATCCTGACAAATCAATCATGAACTGAAAATACTGTTATGTCAAAAATGCAACTAATACACCCAGTGTACTGAACACAGCTCACACAAGTCGGCTGTGGAATAGTGGCTTTCGACATGACAGTGGTGGGTCCACTACCCACATCACACACTCAGGAGATCAAGATTCAAACTCTGAAATACAGTCTGCACCATGGGCCTATCACTTTCACATCACCATAAGGAATGATCTGTCTGTCCCCCCACCTCAAACACACACAAATAAGTAATAAAAGAATAAATTTTAAAAGAAAAGGGGGAAAAAGGCTTAAGTAAAATCTGACAAGGAAAGCCGAGTGCTCCCCAGGTCCCCAAGAGCACTGAACCCTCCCAGCCAGGAGGCTGTCTCCACCCTGTTACCTTTCTCTTGATCTCACAGCTGCTAAATGTGGACAAAATGGACGTGACAGCTTTACTGAAAACCTGTGCCACACAGGCTGCTTTACCGAACTCGGGGGAGGTCACACTCTGCCTCTTCCACAAAGACCAGGTTCGATCTCTGGAAACAGCCAGTAAGAACTTGTCATCAGGTGAGAAGGCCATCTGTGTGACAGTCAAGGTGTGGTAAACAAGACTCTGCAATTGTTTCCAAGATGTTGTATTCCAAAGAATGATAGCTGCATGTTCCTTCTGAGCTGCCTGCAGGACAAGATGAGACAGTGACACATGGAAGCAGAAACAAATCAAAGAACACAATAAAGTAGTGTGGTGTTTCTATGGGTCTGTTTAATGTATTTATCTACGTATCGCCACAAAAGCCTCTAGAAAGCACCTGGAAGTAACCCACAACCACAAAGACTAGGTTCGAGGAAAAGGTAGAGGAATGTGCAATTTAAAATAGGATTCATCAGGGACCCTTCGTAATGAGAACGTTAGAACTTGTTACAACAAGTCGTGTGTATTAACTGCATGGTAAGAGTTTAGAAGCCTCTACTCTGGTGTGTGGTGATATATTGTGTCCCTCAATATATTGTGCACCCCAATAAAGCTTATCTGAGGATCAGAGGAAAAAGCCAGCCACTATACTAAATATAGAAGTCAAGCAATGGTAGCACATGACTTTAATCCTAGCATTCAGGAGGCAAGATCCATCCAGATCTCTGTGAGTTCAAGGCCACACTGGGAACAAAGCCAGGTGTGGTGGCACACGCCTTAAATTCCAACACCAGTTAACCAGTCTGGAGGTCTGTACAGACAGACAGGAAATGACAGAGCAGGGCAGAAAGAGGAAGTGATGTAGCTGGGCGGGGAAGAGGAAGTGAGATGGCAGGGACAGAAAGGCATATAGGCATGGGTATACAGGAAGTAGGTCTCTCTGGAGGCTGAGGGCTGGTGAGGTGAGGTTGGCTGTGGCTTGTCCTATTCCTCTGGTCTCTCAGTTTTAACCCCAATATCTGGCTCCGGGTTTTTTATTTATAAGACCGTTTAGCAATTTGTCTTACATTGGTGAACAAGGAGTCAGTATCACTGGAAAGAGGGTCACTCCATAATAACAAATAAGTAGACTAACGAAGAGGACATCACTGTAACTGTTTACAAACAAACCTACCAAAGGAGCTTCAAAACACATAAAGTACGAATTCAAAGAAAAAGGTAAATATACCCTAAGTATAGTCAGAGATCTCTAACTTACTCCAGAAAGCTGAGAACATAACAATCATAACATCACCCTCAATTAACCAGTGACTAACAGTCACGGATCGCTATCAACCGAACAAACACTCTTTTCAACTGAACATGAGAGTTTACCAAGGTAAGATTTCAAAGGGTTCAAGTCATAATGTGAAACTACAGTGACATGAAAATAAAAAGCACCAATAGAAAAAATACCTGGAAAACGTTTTGTTCGTAGAAACTAAATAATACATTAAAAATAGCTAAGAGGTCAAGGGTGATCAAAAGGTTGCAAAGTATGTTTAACTGAATTAAAATCTGTGGAATGAATGCCTTCTTCTGGCAGAGCCAGTTCCTGGGTTCTGGGACAGAAGAGAGATGCAGACCAACCCAGGTGCCCTGAGTTGCACGACAGAAGGACACACAGACACAGACAGGAAGCGGTGGGAAGAGAGGTGCTGCCAGCAGGAAGCATAAAAAGACGGCATCCATGGTGGTTTGCATGAGATGCCCCTCAGTCCGGGCGTTTGACTACTCGGTCTTCAGCGACTGTTTGGGGAGGCTTAGGAAGCATGGCCTTACTGGAGGAAGTTCTGAGTTTTCAAAAGACTCCCCCATTTCTCTGCTTCTGGTTTATGGTCTGATATGTGAACTGTCAACTCTTAGCTGTTAGGCCTACCTGCTGACACACTTCCCACAACGACAGACTCTGACCCTCGGGAGCTGGAAGCCCACATAAACCCTTCCTTCTACAGTTGCCTTGGTCACAGTTTTTAGCACAGCAATAGAAAAAACAGCATCACTGGGGATTGTGCAGCTACTGAAACGATGCTAAGGGATAAATGTATAACTTAAACAGCCGTATTTAGCACCCGTTAAGCTTTCACATACAGTGTGGTGGTGTGAATGAGAATGGCCCCACAGGCTCACAGATTTGAACGCTTGGTCACCAGGGAGTGGCACTATGTGAAAGGACTAGGAGGAGTGGCCTTGTTGGAGGAAGTGTGACACTGGGGGAGGACTTTGAACTTTCAGAAGCCCAAGCCAGTCCCAGTGTCTTTCTTTCCCTGCTGCTTGTGGATCCAGGTGCAGAACTCCAAGCTTCTCCACCAACACCATGTCTGCCTGCGTGCTGCCAAGCTCCCTGCCACGATGAAAATGGCCTGACTAACCCTCTGAAACTGTAAGCTAGACTCAATTAAATGCTTTCTTTTGTAAGAGCTGACTTGGTCATAGAACACAACTAAGACACATAGTTAAAAACTTTCCCACAAAAAACACCTCCATCAGTTGTCTATCTAGAAAATCTATGAAGGTTTTATACAAATTTTGTGGGGGGAGCTGGAGAGATGGCTCAGTGGTCAAAAACACTGGCTGCTCTTCTGATTCAGTTCCCGGCACCCACACAACGGCTCACAACTGCTTCTAACTCCAGAACCAAGAGATCCAATGTCTTCTTTTGGCCATCACAGGCATCCATGTATGTAGTACACAGACATACTTTCAGGTAAACATTCATACACATAAAGTAAAATCTTAAAAAAAAAAAAACAAAAAACTAAGTAGTTTTATAAGCTACTCAAGAAAGCTATAGAAAAGGGCACTTTCCATGAGGCTCAAATTGCTCATGCCTCAAAACCAAAGAAAACTATATAGGTTTGCTGCTGCTGCTTGTTTGGAGTTTTCTGAGACGGGGTCTCAAGTAGCCCAGGCTGGCTTCAAATCCCTTACAGATGCAGCTGAAGCTGACCTTGGGTTCCTCATCTTCCTGTCTCTACCTCCCAAGTGCAGAGATTACAGATGTATACCATCATTTCCGGCTTTACATTTTTTTACGTACATTAATTTCTCAAGTATGTGTGTACGTATAGAGGGAGGGGGTCATTATGGAGGTCAGAAGACAACTTACAAGAGTTGGTTCTCTCCTTCTACCATGGGAATCTAGGGATCAAACTCAGACCTGATGGTGCCTTTACCTACTGAGCATGGCAGCAGTACTTATAAAGTTCTTAACAAACTTGTATCAAATTGAGTTGAATAATATACAAAAGGAAAATATGTGGGGTGTGGCTCTAGGAATACCAAAAAAAAGAAAAGAAATCCCCCAAAATTAAAAATCATACGGATGTGCCAGGCACATCAATCAGCACATGCCTTCAGTGTCTGCACTTGAGAAGCAGAGACAGGCAGACCTCTGTGAGTTCAAGGCCAACCTGCTATACAAAGTGAATTTCCTTGTCTCAAAAAAATGTACAAAATATATGGGAAAAGGGTATAACTCACAAAATGTGTGTGAGGCCAGACACCAAAACCTACAGACTTTCCAGATACTCTGATGTGAACAGTAGAGAAAAATGGATGAGGTGTACAGATACTTTAGACAGTGATCACTATTTTTCCTTAAATCTAAAATTACTCTGTAAGATTTTTAAAAGACCATCCTAGAAGAAATTAAAGACTTACATAAAAGACAGATATTATTCAGATATTGTTAAAAATTCTCCTCAAATTGATCTACAGATTCACTGCCATTCCCATCAAAGAGACTGAGAATACTTCAAGCTGATTCTAAAATTATACAATAAATAAAATAAAAGAATAAAAGAATAAAGTTGGAAGACAACTACTTTCCTATCTTAAAGATGTTTTATAAAAGTAACAGTTGGCAGGAGGAGCTCACAAGGCTGTACCCCTCCTAGGAGCTAAGGCCTCAAATGGCTGACGAGGAATTTTCTTTTCTTTCTTTCAAGGTGAACAGGATGTGACATTCACCAGTGAACATGCCTGGAAGGTGGCGGCAGGCTCTGCACATCAGTGGATCTCAGCAGTGCAGGGCCAGCCCTTGTCCATTACCCCACAGCCATCAGAGAGGAGCCATGTCTCAGCTACATCTTCACAATCATCTGCATCAAACTTGTGGAAGCCCCAGTTCTTTGCAGCACTGATCTGTTGGCAGCCAGCGAACTTGAACTTGGCCCTGCACAGGGTCTCAATCCACGTTCTTTACTCTGCAACTTGGTGTAGATAGACATGATGACCTGGCCAATATGACCCCTGGCCACTGTGCTCTGGAGCTTCTCAAAGGCACCCTCATACCTGCCTGGAGCCGGGACTGGGGACAATATGAGATCCAAAACATGCACATATACACTAGCAAACTGTCTCCAAGGTCCCTTATACAACACAAGCAACAGGCTACACTCTCCCAAGGAGGGTGCTATTGCAGCCCTTGCATACTTCTGTGAGGAAAAAACCTGGTCCACTTAACTGCCTACAGAGGACATTTTCTTCAGTGATGTAAGGTCATATGCATAATGTTTTAGTGTGTGCATATGGATCAGCACCCCAAACTCAAACTGTTCAAGGATCAACGTTAAGAACAAATGAGTAGCTACAATAGATTTAAAATATAATCACATGTTTTTAAAGAAAGATGAGGAAAAGAGAATGTCAAGCTATGGTACCTGAAAGGCTCATTTCCTGTAGATTCTGCCTGAATCTGCCAAATTTACAGAAGCCCAATGACTCCAATTACCTATGACCAAGTAAAATTAACATACACACATAGACACACAAACTGCCCTACCTTGCAAGCAGAGGCAAGCAGCGTCTTTGAATTGTTTACAGTAACACAAAATATCTCATAGCCGTGTCCATACCTGTAATTTAAAGGGAAAACATGTATCTTCTGTATTGGTAATGAACACTGCAAAAAATTTTAAACGGAAAAGGATCATTCCCTCAACCTAACACACAATTCTTTAAAGATCACATTTTGCCTAGGCAATTATTTAAGGAAAAAAGCAGGAAACAAGAGAAAAACGAAAGGTAATGTAACTCATCAACTGATTAGATTAACACACAGGTTTTCATGTCTAATGCCTGCCAGTCCAATAACCGACCATGGAAAGACAGTGGTGGGAACCAAAAGATAAAAATGACTGGCGGAAGAGCGAACAGAAGCACATAACTATGTTCCATCTCTCTATCTGGGAAATGAACACCAACCAACTAATAAACATAATAAACATAAGAAAGAAAACAAATCCAGGTGAGCTTGGATTCTGACCCCATGTAGCTCTATTGGGCAGGAGGACAATGTAGGTAGGCAGAAGGGGAAGAGCAAGTCAAGTCGTAAGAGGACCCTCCAGCTATGACTGCCTCCAGAAACAGTCAACTTACAGTTTCTGAACTTCAGGCCACAATGTGTTCTGCAGAAGATGATCCTCAGGCGGAGGTTCTACAACATATTTTTAATTTTATAGTAAATTTTTAATACTACAATTATTTTTTTCCTAATTTTAGCCAAATAGAAAGTAAAAGCCATAGCTCTAGGTCCACAGCCAGAGTACAGACTGTACAATTGTATTTTTACCATGTCTTACCAGAAAGGACGGCAGGCTGAAAGGTCATCTCGATCTGCCCAAAGACATGGCTAGTTAAGAACGGCTCCTCTTGAGTACACTGAGGGGCCAGGTCTTCTGTTTTAGAGAAACATGGATACTATGAATGAGTGGAGCTGCAATGACAACATCTCAAAGCCACATAGCAGAGCGCAGCAGCCCTTCCAAATAGTGTATTTCAGAGCTGTGTCCATGAGACTGCAAAAGTATTTCTACTCTAGTATTTTCCAAACTAGCTCCTAAAGTAGGAATGAAATCCGTAAGGATTCTGTCCATTTACTTTCCCCTAGCTATTTACAAGTTTTTTTAATACATATATAACTGATCCTTCAAGTTGCTCACAATGTTGGAGGGCTCTGTGAAATCCTAGGTGAGAACTATAGCTGTGTCAGTGGCCCACATGTGAACTGAGCAGTTAGGACAAAATGTTACAACGGGCCTAAGGGAGCACTGGGTACACAGCACACAAGTCTTGTCGGTCAATTTTAAGTCACAGAGCTGTTCAGAAATTTTGGAGACTAAAACCTTACCCATAAAGACAGCTTTATTTGACAGCCCCAGTGCAGGGACAGTGGCACCTTCGGGAATCGCTTCGTCTTGCTAGAATGAAAGGCACGACATGTACATTTCAGATACTGAAAGTTACTGACACCTCAAATACCACAAGAAAAGTGATGTACATAAATGCTGAGAATGTTATGAGCCTGATTTGTGTGGCTGTCTGTCATCTTTCCAGCTCCGTTCAGATGCCACTTCAAACAATCCCTCTCCAATAGAAGGCCCTACCACCACTCCACCTCCACCAGGCATTCTCTCCTAGGGACATCCTTCAGCCCCCACAATGCAGCAGTCATACAGCAGGCTGAAATGCAAGGCCAAGAACCCCGCCCCCAAGAAAGCATCAAGGGATGCCCCTGAGATGAGGATATAGCCCAGAAAGGCATGGTCATGTCATTTTTATTATACATATATAAACAACTTAAAGCTACTTTACAACTTTAGTATGAACTGAAGAAACAATGCTATGCCTAGATCCTACATTCACATATGAACCAAATGCCAACCATCAGAAATGGTATACAACCATATGCGGAGTGTTTACCAATTCAATCTAACACACAGGCTGGAACTAGACACATGAGCGACACCAATTTAAAACACCAGCTGACTGAGAGGCCACCTGGAGGCCAGGTGCTGCATGCTATCCTATGCACTGTGGGAAAGGGCAATGACAGCAATCCTGAGGCTTACCCAACAACACTCAAATGAGAACAAAATCAGTGAGTCACTTGAAGCCATACAGTTCCTGTTTTCTAGCATACAGAACCAAGTATGCCTAGAACTAAACTTTTCCTGGAATCCCAGAAACCCCACTTCCTTTCCCAGAGCTGGACAGATCCTGAACCTGCTCTCCCTCCACCCATGAAGTCTGAGCTCCTCTGGGTCTGGTTCTCACTCGCAGCAGCAGCAGCAGCAGCAGCAGAACAGAAGCAACTGCCTTCAGTGACTGAGAAAGCTGAGGCATGAGGCACTACCAAATGAAGCTCAACTTCTCTTCCGCCCCTCTGCTCTCGCCTGTCTCTCCCACACTGCCATTGGCTTTCCCTCGACCTCTGGGCTCCCACACAATGCTCTGTTCCAAATGCTTTTCATCGTATTCTTCCAGCAGCACCACTATGAACTGGACCTGCCACCTGAAGCCCTCCAGAACTTTCCTTCAACTCTCCAATTCCCTCTTCACTCCAACAGGAGCCCCAACAGCTCTGACCGCCCCTGCTTGCTGGTTCTCTCTCCTCTACCTTTTACCTGTGACCCAACTCTTAGTAATAAAGTATAAACAGACATTATGTGCAGCAGAACCATTCTCTATAGCCAACTGTCTTCCCACTTCATTTCCATTACCTACTTTCTTCAAGCATTCACCCCAATACCTGGCTCCAGGTTTGTTTTTATTAATAAGACCTCTAAGATTCATGCTACACTTACTTATTTATTTGGATTTTTAAGACAGTTATATAGCCTTGGCTGATCTAGAACTCACTATAAGGCCCAGGCTAGCCTTGAACTCATACACATCTGTGAGCCTTTGCCTTCCGAGTGCTGAGATTAAAGGCATATACCACCTACTTCATAATCTTATAATCTATGTTATTTGTTTTCTTCAGTGCTAGAACCATGAGCCATGTATATGCTAAGTAACCCAAGCTGTATTCTAAAACCAAATTCATGTATTTTTGTAAGTAGCTCAAATCTTATGTAAAAAGCAAGTATAAATAAACAAAAATAAAAATGTACTTGAGATATAAATGACGTCCTACCAAAACATTTTCACGGGGGCTAGAGCAATGGCTTAGTGGTTGGGAGCACTTGCTGCTCTCCACAAAGAACCTGGGTTCTATCCCTAGCACCTCCACGGTGGCTCACAACCATCTGTAACTCTAGTCCCAGGAGATCCCCTTCTTCTGGCCTCTGAGGGCACTGATTCATATAGTACACAGATACATGTACAGGCAAGACGCTCATATACAAAGTCATAGTAACTTAAAAAAAAAAACCAACAACATTCTCATTACTCTAAATGGTGACCTCTTTGTTCCACAACGAACTTTCCTGTCATAAGGTATAGCTATTAGGCCAGGAGTGGTGGTGCACATCTTTAATCCCAGCACTCAGGAGGCGGAACTCTGAGAATTTGAGGCCAGCCTGTTCTACATAATGAAACACTATCTCGAAAATAAATGAATAAATAAAAGTAGCAATTCACTAGTGTCACCCATTAGTCCAGCGTCCACTCTTGCCCTAAAGAAAGACTGCAATCTTCATCAAGACTGGGCTGATCCTTCACTTACCACAGAGGCAACTTATGACAGCCATGTCTCAAGTGAACATGTGATATTGCTGCTTTATTCTTAAACTCATTTGTCATACAAAATATCTGTGTCTAGTGGTTTGTTGTAGTTATTTATTTTTATGTGTATGAGTGTTTAGCCTACATGTGTATATGTGCACTACATACATGGTTGTGAACCACCATGTGGGTGCTGAAAACCAAACTCAGGTCCTCTGCAAGAACAGCAAATGCTCTTAACTGCTGAGCCACCTCTCCAGCCTGTGTTAATATTTAAATCATTACCTGCCGCAGTTCACATAAAAGTCTATCAAACCAGGCCGGGCGGTGGTGGCGCACGCCTTTAATCCCAGCACTCGGGAGGCAGAGCCAGGCGGATCTTTGTGAGTTCGAGGCCAGCCTGGACTACCAAGTGAGTTCCAGGAAAGGCGCAAAGCTACACAGAGAAACCCTGTCTCGAAAAACCAAAAAAAAAAAAGTCTATCAAACCAGAAACATGTGATAGTAATTCTCTTCTACCTGTACACTACATCTACAGCCTGAAGCAAACTTTTTGAAATTTGAAACAAAATGACTGAAATAAAAGAGTTGGAGGAATACTCACATCACAAATCAGGTTACTCAGTGGATGCCCTGCAATGGAAGAAAAAGTCTCCACAAAATTCCGAGGAGCAGAAAAAACACGAAGAACTTTTTCATCTGCTCCAGACACAAACTGAAACCGATCAATCAACGCTAAACATTTCAGGTCATATCCATGTATCTGAGGCCTTGCAATCTCATGCCAAGTCACCTGGGTTAACACACAACAGATAAAATGAAAAGGAGTGCACGCTTCAAAAATCAGTCCTTTTCAACAAGCAAACTATGGGATGCCAAGTTTCCTGCTGTCAAGTAGCCAGCCTGCAGGTTCCTGATGGCTGAGGAGGCTGCTCCATTAGGAGATTTCAAATGGAAGGAAGGTTGAGTTAAGAAGTAAGATATCTTACCAGTGACTGGCCTTTCCTCCTCCATGGAGCAAAAAGGCGAGTTGTCTGATCCGTACTAGTGGTGATGATGAATTCTCCCTCTGGATCCCATATTAGGTCTTGAACACCACTAAAGTGTCCTGAAATGACAATGTCTGAAACCCACCGTTTCTGCAATGAAAATGATAATAACACATATCAAGATAAGTAAGGCCCAACAAGAAGAAAGCTGCAAAACTAAATATTCAAGACAAGATATAAAATAAAAGGAGCTGTTTCCCAATCAACCACATTAAACTGTAATATCCAAATATGTGTTCTATCCTTTGAAACAGTAACTATGGAAAATTTCCCAGCAGACAGACAGCTTGATGTTACCTGTCTATCAACTCTCCTATCAAACAGGTAAACAATGGCGACCTCCATGCAAACGTATTAGGATTAAATGAGTCTACACTCATGAAGTATGCAGACAACGACAGCACATACTGCATGCTCGCTGAGCATTTATTAAACTCCATAATGAAGAACGAATATTGAGTAAAATGAGACCGATTTTGAGTGTGAACCTAGAGGGTTTCTATATTAAGTTAAAGGACTGAGCCAGGTATGGTGGGGCACACCTCTAAACCCAGCACTAGGGAGGCAGAGGCAGTCAGCTCTCTCTGAGTTAGATAGCAGCTTAGTCTACATGTGAGCTCCAGGACAGCCACAGCTACATAGAGACCCTGTCTCAAAGCCTTTCTCAATAAACTGCAGAGGGAAGAAAACTAGGAGAGGAAATGAAATTAATTATGCAACAGGTTGTTTAAAACCAAGGCTAATGACATAGGCAAGAATATTTTCTTCTGTTTTACTGAAACAGGGTCTCATGTAACCCAGGCTGGCCCCAAACTCTGTATACCAGAGGCTGGCACTGAACTCTTAATGTTTCTATCTCTGCCTCCGAGTGTTGGAATTACAGGCATGAAGTAACATACTGGTTATACAGGTTGTAAAGTTATGCTCTAACGGGTGTTTACAACAAGCTGTGGGCCACAGACAGTACTTTGGGATTCCCAGCAGTCTCCCGTGGTAACTCCCTACTTGCTCATGAAAAATCACTCCTGGGCTGGAGAGGTGGCTCAGTCACTAAGAGTGCTTGCTGAGCCAGGCGGTGGCGGCAAAGGCCTTTAATCCCAGGACTTGGGGGCTGGGGTGCGGGGGTAGGGGCGGGGCAGAGCCAGGTGGATCTCTGTGAGTTCGAGGCCAGCCTGGTCTATGGAGTGAGATCCAGGAGAGGCACCAAAAACTACAGAGAGAAACCCTATCTCAGAAAACCAAAAACCAAAAACCAAACAAACAAACAAAAGAGTGCTTGCTGAATAATCATGAAGACTAGAGTTCAGATCTCAGCATCCATGGAGCAAGCCAGGCATCCTACAATTGTCTATAAGCTCTCAAAGATCTGACACTCTCTTGGCTTCTGTGCACAGGCAGGTGTGAGCACTTGCACATACATGTGAGCATATGTTCACACAAACTTACACGCACATAAAATAAATCCTTGAGAAATAAATAACAATCAGTCTTGAAGAGTTAGAAAGATGGCGCGGTTAGGAGTGTGTGCTGCTCTTCCAGACCAACCAAGTTCAATTCCCAACACCCGTGTCAGTCAGCTCACAACTACCTATTAATTCCAGTTCCAAGGAATCTAACACCCTCTTCTGACCTCCACAGGCACCTGTATTCACATTCACACACCCACACACAGACACATAAAACTAAATCTTTAAATAATCAACCTTGACTATAAATAAATGGACTGCCTCTGGTGAGGGCTGCTGACAGGGAGGCCAGGCACAGGAGCACTGGGTCTGGGTATGCAGCATGCACTCTGCTTTATGCTCAGTTGTACTGTCAATTTAACACTGTTCTAAAGAAAATACAGTCCACTTAAAAGTCACCCCCCTCCCCGGGGCACGTGGTAAGTCTTTGTCTGCATAAGCACAGTGAAACTGTTTTCAGATTTGGATAGCTCCTCTCTCATCTTGTGCTTTTCTTCTGCAAAGACCCTCAAAGAGTCTGAGTTAAGGAAACAGAGTTCACCTTAAAAAATAGTTCCTAAACTAACAATGTCATAGATTTATTGGTTGTTTTAACTGCAGAAATAATCTTAAAGACTAAGTCCAAATAGAGGCTAGAAGACTAAGTCTCCAATAAAACAAGAAGGTAAAACCTCAGAGGTGATTATTTCAAAGGCCACAAACTAAAAGCGATGCAAATCCATGAATTTGTACTTTATAAAGATTTAGTGAGATGGCTCAGCAAATACAGGCACTGGCCACTAAGCCTGATGACCTAGGTTTTATCCCAGGACCCACATAGTATAAGGAGAGAGCTGGCTCCTATAGGCTGTCTTTTAACCTTTGCACTTACACACCAACACATACATAAAATAAAAATATGTGAAATATATTTTATTATTTTTTTCTTTTTTTAAAGATTTATTTATTTATTACATATACAGTGCTCTATCTGCGCGTACACCTGCAGACCAGAAGAGGGCACCAGATCTCATTACAGGTAGTTGTGAGCCACCATGTGGTTGCTGGGAATTGAACTCAGGACCTCTGGAAGAACAAGCAGTGCTCTTAACCGCTGAGCCATCCCTCCAGCCCTGTGAAATATATTTTTAAAAGGAAGCTATCAGGCCGGGCGGCGGTGGTGCGCACCTTTAATCCCAGCACTCGGGAGGCAGAGTCAGGAGGATCTCTGTGAGTTCAAGGCCAGCCTGATCTACAGAGTGAGATCCAGGACAGCCACCAAAACCACACAGGGGGGGGGGGGGGGGGGGGGGGGGGGGGGGGGGGGGGGGGGGGGGAAAGGAAGCTATCAGATACACATTCAAAATATGACAAGTCACATTTCACCCAATATTCTTACTTATTTATCGAGCATCCAGACTCTGACTTGTATCTGTACATGATGGGGGTGGGGGGCAGACAACCCAGGGTCTCACATAAACTAGGCCAATGCCACTGAGCCGCATTCCAGCCCTACATAAATAACATTTGGGCATCATTCAATTCTGTCACACTGCTGTACAGCTCTGCACTATGTTTAAAATGACTATCATCTCTGCTTGAATGTGTCTACTAGGAAAGCACAAGTCAGCAAGAAACCACATGCTCATACTCGGTTCACTGTACTCTGCTTCCAAAGGTGCAGTGCTCCGTGGTACGCATGAGCGATGATCATGGTGCCATTCTCTCCGAACTGGCAATTGAGAAATCCCAGGGTATTTCCACCTACTTCACCTACTCGGACCTACACAAGAACAGAAAAACAGTTATCAATCAACAGGTCCGTTTCTCACACTGGAAAAGAAGTTCAGAGACTAAGTTACAGCTCATTTAATGCATACAAAGAGTGAAAATTTACAGCTCTAGGAATATAGATTTGGGGTGTATATACTGAATTTCTTAAATATCCACCTCTTACCTGTTCTAACCAAACCCCGGAGTCTTCTTCTGGACCCCAGAGAATCATGCTTTTGTCCGTGGAGACAGACAGCAATCTCACCTTCTGCTGCAGGACACCATCTGAAGAGTGAAAATTGACATCTTTAGATCAACAAGCAGAGTCTGACTGCCAGAACAAAACAGAAGGGCACGCAGCATTGACTGCAACAGCAGAGGTGTGCAAAACCAGGTACCATGGCCCACACCTATCCCCCGGCCGTCAGGAAGCTGAAGCAGCACAATTGCTTTAAGCTCAAGGCCAGCCTGGGCTACACTGTGGGACCCAGTCTCCAAAAACAAAAACATACAATCATAAGGTCTATCCTTAGTTTAAACAAGTTGTGATATATTCAGACAATGGAGTATTACAGGGTCTACATGAACCAACATAGCTCTATCTCTAAACATATACATGTGTGATACAAAAGGATAAGTACATACTAGTACCGAGTTTTATCAATGACAACAATACTACATAAACATGAAATTCAGGTTCACTAACATGCCTAGGACTGATAGGCATTGAACTTAGCACAATGTCTCCACAGAAGAATGGAGGAAAGCTTCAAAGGTTCCTGAACTACAGAAAAGCTAGAGGTTGTCCTCTAATACAAAATTGTGAAGTAATACATATTCTTTTAAATAAATCTTAAAAAGACTGTTGTTTTACTATTTTTAATTATGACCTGTATGTGCATCTCTGTATGGGTATGTACAGCGGTGTCTGATCCCCTAGAGTTGGGAGTTAACGGTTGTGAGCCACCTGACATGGGTGGCTTGGGACTGACCTGGGTCCTCGGCAAAAGCCATCTCTCCAGGCCCTTTTTGGACATTTTCACTACTTAGTTATAGGTGTGTGAATGAGTGCATCTGCTCCCCTGTATGGGCACACTGATACTATGCATGCAGAGTCCATTAAGAGAGCATTAGATTCCCTGGAAGTACAATTCTTTATGAACTGCCTGATGTGGGTCCTGGAACCAAACTCAGGTCTTCTGCATGAGCAGTGAGTACTCTTAAGCACTGAGACATCACTCCAGCCTCTGACACTGACTCCCCACTCCCTTTAAAGACCAAATAAAGAGCTTCGTTTGAGCTTGGGAATATGAAATTAGGGATTCCACTTTGACTTTCAGTAACTTTGGCTGGGTCTTGGTGTAAGTGCTAGGCCAAAACAATGCCTTCCTCTTATTTATTTATTTAAAGATTTTTAATTATGTGTCTGTGTGTGTGAGTGCAGGTGCCCTCGAAATCCAAAGAGGGTGTCAAACACATCTCTCTAGCCCCTTTCTCTTCTTTTTACTGTTGGAAACACAGCTTCCAATTAGCAAAAATGAGTGTCCAGCTTTTCTTTCTTTTTATTTGTGCCTGTACACATGTGTCTGTTTGAAATAAGGTCTCATTATTCAAGATGGACTAACCTTGATCTTGTAATCCTCCTGTCTTAGCATCCTGACTGCTAGAATTGTAGCTATGTATTACTATGCTCAGCTTTCTTTTCTATGGAAATGGGGTTTTACTACATAGTTCAGCCTGGCTATAAACTAACAATCCTCTTTCCTCAGCCTCTTTAGTGGTGGAATTACATGAATGTGCCATCACACTCAACAAGATTTTTTTTTTTAAGTTTTAAACTAAACTTGAGCTGCTAGGAAAGAAAAAGTAAATCACACAGCTAGTTTGCTCTCAGCTACAGAGAAAACAGTGACCCCTGTACAGAGCAGGTACCGACATGCGTTAATGACCACAGAGCACATGGGTCAAGAAAAGCAGAGAGGTGATGGGTTGGGAAGAAAGAAACCACTAGGCGAGGCTACAGGGCACACAATGGAGCTGGCAACAAAGGGTAAAATGACGAAGACGACGCTGTGGCAACTATGTACAACCTAAGAGCTGAGCAGTGATCCCCGAGCATTAGTGACTGCGGTTCCTGGGGACAAGAACCAGGTTATGCCTTGCTCAGCTTTACACCAGCACCAGCCTGAGGGCAACCCTGCCCTCCATAGACAGAGGCTAAGGGCTACAGAAAGAAGGGAAAGGCGTTGACTCTCCTAAGTGCTACCTCCCAGTATCAGCGCTCCACGCTTTCAAGAGTGAAGGTTCCACTGAGACTGGCTTGAGTCGGTTTTTCTCAAGCTCTGGAGTCGCACGGGCAACAGGGGTTGGCAGTTTCAGCGCCCTGGTGGCAATCAGCCTGCCTGAGGACAGCTTCCAGTGGAGCTGCTGTCGGCACGGTCACCACACAGGCCTTACATTTGCCAACTTTAGTCACGCTCACAGCAACCCTCCAGTTCAGCTGCTCAGCTCAAAACACTGTGACACTGAATGAAGCAAGGGCTGTTGGTTTCCTCCTACCTTCGTAGTACGCAGGCAGCCAATGAACTGAGTTTACCCAGTTTTCGTGTCCAGTCAGCAGGGTCTCCAGGGTAACCGCAACAGTTATGCTGATACCTACAACAGAAGCCACACAGACACCCTTTCCTCACAGTTCCTCTCAAAGGACATCTGCAGAATCAAGTCTAGTGTGTAATTATGTCAAGAAATTAGAACAAAACATAATAATCCAGATTCAACAAAAAGAACAAGAATTCTAAACTTCATTAACCTCACCCACTAGAGAAAAGGAGCTAAAAATGAATTGTCCCCTATACTTTTCTCTACCTGGGTATAAATAAATACTAAAGAATATATTTTACTATTTGAAATATTCCTGGAAAAGCTGTTCCACAGCAATTTAAAAGCAAAATCACACATCATTTACATTTTGAAACATCACATATACAATTCTTACATTTCAGCTCAAAACTAGGGCTGAGAGTGTAGCTCAGCCATGTACTGTGTAGCACGTGTAAGCGCTGGGTTGAATTTCCAGCACAAACAAAAATACATACACCCCCCCCCCAAGAAAAGTAGTATTAAAGCAAAAACAAAGACTGGGGGTATAACTCAGTTGAGAGAGTGTGCCTGGCACACCCGAGTTTGACATTAACAGGATGGTGTGGCACAGCCCGCTAACAACAGCATTCAGAAGGTAGAAGAGGAGGTTCAGGAGTTCCGGAGGCCGGCATGGGGTACATGGAACCCTGTCATTCATAGATAGATAGATAGACAGACAGACAGATAGATACATGAGACCCTGTCATTCATAGATAGATAGATAGATAGATAGACAGACAGATATAAGGGAAACTAAATTTATATTACAGTAAATAAATGAAAAATTTCGCATTTTGGCGTAACTATTTATAGTATATTGGCTATATCATTTCTTGGTTTCCCCCAGACAACTGTTACCAAAGCCACAATTCTAACAGGCCTCGTAACTAAGACTAACCAAGAACAGCACACTTAGGGAGTGAGGACTCCTGAGGACTGGCTTTGGTATTTACAAACAAACTCAACTCTATCTCCATCCTACAACATTCCAACAGGACCTATGAGGGGCAAGCCACTCTATCACAACACTGTAAGAAAATATGAATTCCACACGCCACTCAAATGTAGAGTTTAGCCTGTCCCTTATGAATGCACCCCAACAGGACCAGAATTCACATTTCACAAATTAATTCACTGATAAACAGTAAGCATAACTTTCAGCAATTAAAAAATAGTTTATAAAAGTGTTTCAAACATGAAAAATAATAGATCTCACATAAAAATAAAAAACTAACCTTCACACAGATGTGTGGAGACACAGACAAATAAAACAGTTAGCAGAGCTAAGTATTGGTACATCAAACACTTCATTGTCACCCACCTCCGTCCTGTATAGTGAAAGTATTTTCCTTCAGTCTTATACCATCATCCTCAGTTTCTAAAGACGTTGGTTTCATACACACTTTCCATATTCTTATTAGGCAATCTTGTGAACAGCTTGCGAGGAAAAGGTTTCTACCTAATTAGAAAATACATAGTACGTGACTTTTTAAAGCACTATATGCAGTAAATTTAGGTATAACACTTTTTATATATGGTTTGTATATTTCTAGATCCAAAAATATTAGACTTTGCTTCCTTATCCTTCATGAAGTTGACTGGAATTCATTTTTAATGGCATTGGCAAATATATACACAATGTTAATAAATATGTATGTAACAAGTGGTTCTCTACAGCTAGGGCACGAAGTTCTAGGAAGAATTCTTCAAGAACATCTACATATAAATAGGACAACTATTGTCATCTTGTCAATATTAATTTATGTCATTCTTTACCACCCAATCAACAGTTAACAAGAGTTAAGAATCCCCTTTTCTGGGCCAGTGGGCAATGGTACCGGCCACCAAGCCTCAGTGAGTGTGATCTTGGGACTCACAGGGTGAAGGAAACCCTGCTCCCAATCCCCAATGCTGTCTTGTAGTCTCCAGATGCATGCCATAGTGTGTGTGTTCCTTTTCTAACCAACAGTAGACAATGCAACACACACAGAAACTTAAAACTTGCCCCCATCATGCACACGTGTAGTAAAATTTCATACTGACCAAAAGTTGCCCAATCTACTCCTTTTATCCAGTCCTCATGCCCACAGAGAGAAAGCATTTTCTGAAACTAGGAAGATAAGAGTCAATAAAGTAAGTGACACCTCAGTGACTAGTCAGGCTAGTCACTATCTTCAAGTCTCAAGCAGTCTAAACGTTCACAAGATAAAACAGCACATGCTGCAGATACAGCACTGAAAACGCTGGACAGCTGGACTGTTGCAACTATTTTAAAATTTCTACATTAAGATGCACTGCTAAGCAAAACATAATTCTAGTCTCTTAGTAAAAACCATTAGTTACCTGGTCATCCTGTTGAACAAATAAGTGAATTTTGCAGTCATCATCACCACACGCTAATATTGGTACTGGGAAGGAAAACAGGCATGGCTGTAAGTACTGCAGCTACGATCACTGGGTGAAGAAACCGACTTCTGCTCCCCACACCACCGCACAAATGAACTGAAAGCCCCCCCGCCACCTCCAGGACTACATGGACACTCTAACGTTTCTAGTCAGTGGATCTGGCGAATACTGGGACAGCTGGTTCTGTGCACTATGACACAGGGGAGGGGAGTGGGGAACAAGGCAGGGACCAGGGAGAAGGCATGGGGTGTGCTTGCCATGTAAGCCTGAAACCTGAGTTCAATTAAGGAGCCACAGAAAAAGCCACATATGGCATTGTGCATCTGTAATCCCAGCACTCCTTTGGCAAGATGAAAGGAAGAAAGAAGAACTGGCAGCAAGTTGTAGGCCACCTAGCCTAAAACACAACGTGTCTAGAAACAAGAGAGCCCTTGCTTTAGAAACAGGGTGTACAGACAGAAAGACTCCCAGAAGTTGTCCCCTAACCAAAATAAATTTCAAGTAAGAACAAGTAAGGTGCATTTCTACAACACCAGCCAGAGGACCAGGGGGAAAAGCCATTAGCCCAGCTGAATACTGAAGAGCCTCCAAGCCCAGCATCAGTTGCTACCTAAAAATCTTTACATGTATTTGCCAACTTCAAGGATTTTACATTTGGCTTGAGAATGAATTAAATGTTAAAATAAAAGAGCACATAATCAAATATACGGTTAAGAACTCTGAGATGACTAAAAGGTACATGTTGCAAAACTAACCTTGCTTCCCAGCCACCTTTACATAAAGGAAGCGTAACATGGAACCAGAGTCCCAGCTCCTGCTGTAGAGGACAGAGAGCAGGAGAGGCTGGAGTTCCCTGGCCATGCCTCTGGCAGCTGGGCCTATCCTCCAGGTAAAGGAGGAGGTAAAGGAACCATTGTCTCACATCAACTACCATTTCTGTGCCTAACAAGGCAAGGAAAATCATACTCATCATGAGGGACATGAAGGGTTGCCATCTTGAGAGGCTCACAGTTAAGCACCTTTCAACTTAGCCCAACCTTCACCTTCAAAGAACTACTTTCTCCAAATTGTATTCAGATACATCCACGATGAAATAAACAAGCAGCAATATCAATTTGGAGTATATATTAAACCAATAAAATCTCAGCTACCAAAATTCCTAACAGCTGCCCTAACTTTATGAGCTATACCACTTGATTTGCTGTTTTTCTGTTTCTGAAACAGTCTCACGTAGCCCAGGCTCTCCTTGAACTCCTGATCCTCTTGCCTCCATCTCATTGACGTGTATCTCAATGCCCAGTTTATTATTTCATGGGAGCATTTAGATACAGGGCTGGAGTATAGCTCAGTGGTAGAGTATTGTTTAGTATGTGTGAGGCCATCCACTGGATCACCAACACAAGATAAACAAATGTAACAGATACAAAATCAAGGTCCCAAACCTTTCTTATGCTGTTCTTTTAATAAATGGGAGGGCACTCACCATTAATACCAGGCAAAATAGACAGGCAGACAGTCAGAACACATGCATCTCCAAAGTTCAAGGTCTGAAGGAATTTTACTGAAAAACATGAAACAAAAACTCACCATGAGCAATTACCCCTGAGCTTCTCTACCTAAAGAAGCTGGGTGGTCTCACTAGTTCAGGGTGTCAGCAGAGAGATGGACAAGTCAACCCAAAGATCAGAGAAAACAAAATAGCCCATTTAAAAAGGCTTAGTTGGAATTTACTTAGGTAAATACTTTGGTTAAAGGGTATTTTGCAAAAGCACAAAAGTAACACACTCATATTAGGATACCATTTTAAAGTTGCTTGAAATGGTGGAACTTAATACGAGCTCTTGCAGCTGTTACTCATTTCACAATTTCCATTTCTTTTATCTACATTACAAAGCCTCCAAACCTACCTTCCGACCCCTTTTTAGACCACAGTCGAACTGTAGAATCTGAAGCTGCAGAAGCTATCAGAGCATGCAGCGCACCATCGGATGGCCCATTCAGGTAAATAGCATGCACGGCATAAATAGGTCCTTCATGGCCTTGGAGACGGATTGCTTTTAAAACCTGAATCAGAAAGAATGTCATCCGTGTTACAAGAACAAAAGAACTATATAGCTGGGTATGGTGGCTAATGTCTGTAATCCTGGAACTCAGGAGACTGATCCAGAGGACCACTCTGAGTCTGAGAACAGCCTGGACTATCAAATGAGACTGTCTCAAAAAAGAAAGGTGAGGAGGCTGTAAACAGAACATGATGGCTGTACATCTGTAATCCCAGCATTTAGGAAGTGGAGACGGGGTGTCATTAGTTCAAAGTCCTCCTCAGTTACACCAGCTGAAAGGCTCTCTCTTTGATCAGTAGTCCAGGCGCACTGAGCACCTGTGCACACAGAACTGAATGGGTGGGTACCCAATCCCGAAGATGCTCAGCCTTTCCCCTGAATCCCAATTCTTTTCATCCTTCTTTTCCAACTTTCATCCCCCCACCCCGCCTCAGTCTGGCCTCATTCTCCTCTCAGTTGACTGTCCTGCCACTAGGAGCTCAGGGAAGCATTAAGGAAAAGTCTGGCAAGTCTCTCACTTCAGGTCTCAAAAGTAAGAGCTCACTTCACCTCCCTGGATTCTTCTGCTAAGACTGGGCCCAGTGGGGGTGGCATTCTGCTCCTTCAAATGCAGGTGACTCCACATGGCCCTCTAATCCCTGTAGCATTGGGGGCATGGAACAGCCAGCAGGTCATATGACATGACCACACCAGGTTCCATATCTTCCTACTTGCCCATTTTTCTATACAGAAGCACCTTTCTCCCAGGGCCCTAAAAAAGAACCCATTCTCACTCATGTCCCTGTCCATCATATCCCCATTTTATTTTGTAACTAACCTGTCAGTGCCAAAAACATTTCTACACACTCTCCTTTTCTTCCGGTTTCCCCTATAAGTCAGCAGTGCTTTCACAGTACACCTGACATATCCCTTCCTTAGCAACCATCGCTGATTTCCAAACGCCTGCTGAATAAGAGCCCCTCCCCCGCAAGCTAAGGATTGAATCCAGGGCCTCACACATACTAGGCAGGTGCTCTGCCATGGATCTGTATCCCAGCCCAACCACAACAACAAAAAATTTGAGATAGTGTTTTGCTGTACAGCCTATACTGACCTTGAACTCATCCTTCTGCTTTGGCCTGTTGAGTGCTGACAATCCAGGCCTGCACTACATGAGTAGCCGAAGAACAAACTCCTAAAGCCAGCATTCAAATATGAACTCCCCGAAGAACAAACTCCTAAAGCCAGCATTCAAATATGAACTCCCCTTATTCTCTAGTATTTTTGTACACTATTGAGAGCCGGTGGTAACAAAAGTCCATGGAGTATACAGCGGTGACAACTAGAGTTCAGACGGTCAACCTATCAGAACTAAGGGTTCTGTTAGAGGCAACCATCATGAAAGGCGTTATGGAATTACTGCCTTTTGAATGAACTGGCTGTCTCTTGTTGTAAACTTCTTGTGCAATAACAGCTATGAGTCTCCCCATTTACCGTGCATCTCTATGTTATATGTACATGTAATCTCTTGATTGCATCTCAATCTTGGGCACAACTTTCCCTATACATTTAAGGTAATTGGACAACTGTCCCCAGCTGTGTTTATTTTTCATTAACATACATCTGTCCAGGGCCATTCTCCAGACAAAAGTATTTCAGCAAAGATCCCTTTTTCCAAGGACAAAACTGCACGTAGATAAACATTAGCTCATCTCACTCACAGATAGAGAAAAGAACCACTAATAATTAAATTCTCAACTCCTTACCTTCACCCTGGGTTATTTACACAAGACCCTAACTTAAGAGATTTACTGCTCACATTCCTGGGATGAAGTTTTAGCCACTGGCTAGTTACTGAGTTAAGGCAGTTACTTCCCACTGACCCAAGGAGATTGCCTACAAGGCCAGGCAGGTGATAGGTACCAAGCTTCTTTCTTGTGCAAATTAAGGTTTTTTTCCTCCTCAGCCAGGTGCTATTCCTAGATTTTCTCCTCAGCAATTACTCTGAGCGAAAGTGCTTTTACTAACCAAAGGCTACATGCTCTGACATAGGTTGCTTACCCACCTAGCATATGTCACCCTCCCTATCAGAAAGCAACTGCAGATGAGCAGGAAAAGCGGCGCCAAAGACAGTTTACTTTCTTGTGACTTATTGATCCCTAACATCCTACCTAGCCATTTCTAGATTATAGTTTGAGCACATAAATTCCCTAACTGATCTTAGCCTTTAGTTGACCCTACCAGAGAACTCCCCTTTAGGCACTCCCCTTTTGGGTTGTAATTGGAAGCTTACAATTAATTGCTTTAATGTGTGGGTCCTTATCACCTCTCTCTGCGACCCTGAAAAACTTCAAGCCTCGCACTGCATTGCCAAAGAATTACTGTGTGGGTATATAGACTGGTTCTCTGAGAGCACTGGGGGGATTGATGGAGAAGAACAAAGATGAGGACGGAGATGGAAAGAACTAGGTAGACATGAGAAGGGACTGAGAGCAGGAGGGACTGAGAGGTAAGAGAACAGAAAAGAAACTGTGTAGATAGAATTAACTTAGAGAAATAAAGCAAATGGACTAAAGAATTCAGTGTGCTTAGATTCATTGAATATCCCTCAGATTAGAATCCTCAGCTGGTTGGTAGGCTCTTCCACGGACCATGGGAGCAATATAGGCTGGACCTATTATTGTTTGCGTTAGTACACCATGTATTATCTAATAACATTCCCAAACTGTTTCCTCAGAGTGCAATGGGATGCTAAGAGATTTTAAATGGGAATGACAGGTGCGTTTGTGTAATGTATTTTCTACTTGGAATCCTTACCCTTTGAATTTTCCCCAGGACAACACCCTCCACTGCACAGTCAACTCAAAGGCCATCCATCTGCAGCAACTCTGCACACCTGGGCACGGAGCACTCTGACTTTTCAGTATTCAAGTCCACTCTACCTTCAAGATAATGTCCTCGACTCAGGAACAAGAGGGCTCCGCCTTATCTACTTCTTTGGGGTAATGTTCAAAATCAATATTTACCTGGCAGCAGCTGCCTATTTAATACACCAAAATGTCTGTCATTATCGAGAACAGAACAGCTCACCTAAGATTGGTCTGAATGAGGGAGTCCCAGGCACAAGTGGCAGACAGCACACAAACATGGAAGCAGGAGTTAGAGGAGGGGTACAGAGCCCTGACAGGCAGGAGATAAACCATCTCAGCTGAGTGGGATGGCACACACCTGCAATCTCAGCCATCCATGGCATACAGTGACACTGCCTTAGAAAATGTGTATGCATCTGCTGTTTATTTCTGTTTATCCATGTGTATGGCACACATGTGGGGCTGAAGGACAAACTTGGGTGTCTGTCCTCATCTTCCATTTGATCTAAGCCTGCGTCTTTCTTAGTTGTTGGCCATGATGTATCCCAGGCTAGCTGTCCCAGAGCTTCTGGGCACTCTCCTGTTTCCATCTTCCATCTACAGTAGAGACTCTGGAATTCCAGGTGAATGCTGCCACGTCTAGCCACTATGTGGGTTCTGTGGACTAGAACTCAGGTCCTCCAGCCTGTGCAGCATGCCTTTTACCCACTGCATATCCCCAACCCATGTCTCAGACTTTTTTTTTTTTTTGTTTCTCTGTATAACAGTCCTGGCTGTCCTGGAACTCAATTTGTAGACCAGGCTGGCCTCAATCGCACTGAGATCCACCTGCCTCTGCCTCCCAAGTGCCAGGATTAAAGGCACGTGCCACCATTGCCTGGCTCAGACTTTTTATTAAAATAAATAACTAAATAAAGTTTCTTGGCTACTGTGATGGTGTGAATAGGAACGGCCCCCACAGGCTCATAGATTGGAATGCTTGGTCATTAGGGAGCAACACTACTTGACTTGGATTATAGGGTGTGGCCTTTTTGGAGGAAGTGTCCCTGAAGGTGGGTTTGGGGGTTTCAAATGCTCAAACCAGGCCCAGTGTTTCTCTCTTGCTGTTGCCTGGGGAAGTAGAACTCTCAGCTCCTTCTCCAGCATGTCAGCCTACATGCCACAACACTCCCTGCCATGGCAATAATGGACTAAACCTCTGACACTGTAAGATGCCCCAATGAAATGTTTTCCTTTATAAGAGTTGTTGTGGTCATGGTGCCTCTTCACAGCAATAGAACAGTGACTAAGAGAGCTATATACTTAAAAAAAGAGAGAGAGAGAGATAAGCATTTGGGCTTCAGATTTTTTTTTTTCTTAATACTATTTTGGCAACTTATTTTCTAGTATATTTATGATCTAATTTACTTGAAATATTTAGTTTGGGGCATAAGAGACCTTTTACTTTCCTGCATAACAATTCAATCATGCCCAGCTATTTCTTTTCTTCTTTTTTTTCATACAATATATTTGATGTTTCCCCCTTATCCAACTCCTTCAGATTCTTCCCATCTCCCCACCCATCCAACCTCATATTCTCATTCTTATTCCAAACAAACAAAAAACAAAAACTGAAAATCAAAACAAACCAAAAATATTTTAAAAAATACCAAAATGGACAACAACAACAACAAAACAAAAACATGGCATCAGTTTTGTGTTGGCCAGCTTCTCCTGGACATGGGGCTTGGCCTGGAGTATGTTTGATAAATCCAATGACACGAAATTGTAAAAAATCAATTTTCTCTTTCCCAGTAGGCATCAGTTGCAAATAGCTGCTTGGATGGGGGCTTTGTGTCCACCGCCCCTTCTCAGTGCTGGGATTTTGTCTTCAGATTTTAAGAAACGATAAAGTATATGGGTTACAGATAAGCAAATAAACAGATGAGAAAAAAGGAGGACATTTTATAAATCAAAAAACAAGAAATGAGAGCTAAAACTTGAACAGTACATACAGTCACTTCTTAGATTGAGAAATAGCTACTGACCTGATTATTCACTATCTCCCAGTGAATCACTCGACTGTCGGCTCCTCCAGACACCAATTCAGAGGAAGGGACTGAAAAAGTTGTGTTTGGGTAAATATCTTCATTCACGTCATTTCTTCCCCTAGTTATTTTCTTATCAATTTCTTAGGAAATCTAAATTATCTGGTGACAGACCTTACTAGAAGGTCACAGGTTACAGTGATAACACATGTAATTCATTTTACGTGACCTCACTTTTAAATGGAAGTAAAATTAATACTTCACAACAAAGTCCTATGGTGTGATTCCAGTAGTTTTTGATGTCAAGTGGTGCCAAGTAACATTATTTACAACTGTATTTTTGCACACACATTAAGAGCCATCCTTAGTATTATATAATGGCTTTTACTGACTTGATACAAGACTTACTCTGATTCACCACTAAGATAAGTTGTGTATTAAGCCTTTTTTGATATTACAGATAAAACCACAGAAGAGCCTCACCAGCTCAAGAAAATTCTGCACTTGGGCCCGGAGCGTATGCAGAATGAGGAGAACTTAGAGTGTAAGACAAGAGCACAGCAAGACAGGACAGCTGAGAGAATCCCACTGGAGTAGGAGTTTACAGCAATCAATAGGCCAAGAACAACTCTGGAGACAGAGACTCTTACAACGAAGAGAAATAATCCACTGCATTCCACCAACTTTCAAAATTTTTGTTCTACTTCACACTCTTAAGAATTTTAAGGCCAGGCGGTGGTGGCGCACGCCTTTAATCCCAGCACTCGGGAGGCAGAGGCAGGCAGATCTCTGTGAGTTCGAGGCCAGCCTGGTCTACAGAGTGAGTTCCAAGAAAGGCACAAAGCTACACAGAGAAACCCTGTCTCAAAAAAAAAAAAAAAAAAAAAAAAAGAATTTTAAAAACCCCTAAAAAGCTTTCAATTTGGGCTATTTGTATCAATATTAGAAGTTAAAACTAAAAAGTACTTTTTTAATAGTTCACTTAAAAAATACAATGATGTTGAGCAAGGAAACACATGCCTTTAGCCCCAGCACTCCGGAGGAAGAGGCAGGGGCACCTCTGTGGATCTGAGGCCAGTATGGTCTACAAAGTGAGTTCTAGGCCAGCCAGGACAATGAGACCTAGTCTCAAAAAAAAGACACAGTTAAGATGATTTATTGGGTAAAGGAACCTGCTGTACAAACCTAGAGATCTGAGTTTGATCCTCAAACCACACAAAGGTGGGTACAAAGTCTACACATGCACTGTACCCACCTCCACCATCACACACTGGTAATAGTAATTTAATTATAACGATATACAAAATATGTTAATACAAACTTCCATAGGAGCTGAAGAAGTCTAAGGCTAGAACCATAAAAAATTAAAAAGAACAGGAGCACAATTTTGTATGTCTGGAGGCTCTTTAGTATCTGACTACATTAGAAAACAGCTGAAGTTTCCTATTTGCTGCTCTGTTTAGTCTGTTACAGTATCACACATCATGTGGTTGATAGAAAAACCACACAGCACACTCATGACAGCCTGTGAGTGAGCACGCTTCTTAATATTATGAAAATAGCATGGACCTCACACATCCTGGGACTACCAAGGGTCCTCTGATCCAGTACAGTCCTTTACTTTCTAGACCATACTATCAACTGCAACAAACATCCAAAGTCTTAACTAAAGCAACAGTCTACATGGCAGAAACAGACTAAGTCAGCTGAATGTCAGCCTCTACCTATGACCTGCTCACAGGTTTTCCACTCAAAGGCTATGGGCACAGGGTGTATCCATGCTTCAACTGCTATCAAGTAAAAATACTAGTCAGCTACCTCACTGGGTAGACCAGTTTTCATTTTTTTCCAAACATATACCAGTCAAGAAAATGATAAATCAAGAGAAATACTGAAAAAAAAAATTACTAACTGGTCAGGCAGTGGTGGCGCACACCTTTAATCCCAGCACTTGGGAGGTAGAGGCAGGCGGATCTTTGTGAGTTCTAGGTCAGCCTGGTCTACAGAGCAAGTTCCAGGACAGGCTCCAAAAGCTACACAGAGAAACCTTGTCTCTAAAAAACAAACAAACAAATTACTAACTGTACTTTGTCAAAAAGCATTTGAGATAAGCCTTCTTGGCTTAATTAATACTTACAGCCATCCTGTCTACGTATCCACTGCAGGCAATTGACTCGAGCAGTGTGACCATTCAGATTGTTAAGAACCACCTTTTTCTTTAGAGAAAAAAAAAATATCAATTAGTACATTAGAATGTAGCCCACAAAGGGATGGATAAGTAAGTAAAAATCAGTTATCAGTATTTTGATGCAATAAAAGGAGCAGAATTCCATCAACAGAGTTGCCTTTTAAGTCATAAACCTCTAACTGTGGCTTGACTTATCCATTCACTATAGCATTTCCTGCCTTTCCACACGCATTCGCACCATCCTGTTAATAACTGGCCATCTTAGCTCCCTGGATCTTCATCTACATAGCTGATGTAGATCAACTCAACCCCAACCTCCGTGTCAGCAAGCCTGTCTTAAGTCTCCAGGATAAACAAGAAGTCCCTTTGTGGGCTACAGTCCACAGCAAAACAATACCAGGCTGCATTAAGTAGAGGGTTTAATTTTTTTTCCTGTGCATTGGTGTTTTGCCTGCATGTATGTCTGGATGAGTGTGTTGGATTCCCTGGAACTAGAGTTATAGACAGTTGTGAGCTGTCATGTGGGGGCTGGGAATTGAACCTGGGTCCTTTGGAAGAGCAGCCAGGGCTCCTAACCACTGAGCCATCTCTCCAGCCCACGTTGATGTTTAAAAAAAAAAACCTTGTAGTTAATGTATATAAATTCATGGTTAGTCAAGTGGTAGGTTCTTTAGCCTCAGTGACAGTGACACAAGGTCATGAGGCCACAACTGCTAAAGTCCTTCTAAATCAGACCCCTGCAAGTTCTACAGTCAGATCCTCAGCCACCCTTCGGTAGCCTGACTTCACACCCCGCTAAAGATCTGCTCACAGGACTTCTCTTGACAGCCCTGTCCATGTTTATTATCAATAGCACTGACTTGATGCCTGCTTGTATGCCAAACAGAATTTCTCACAGCTGGTGAAAAAACCAGGCAAATGTGTATAAACCAATACATTTAATGAATGAGCTCTCTGAGGTTGGAAAGCACTTCAATGCATTTCGCTGTCTCTCCCACCAGACCGAGGAGTAATTACTCATTATCTTTGTAGCGTCACAATGCCTACAGCAAGCCTAGACGGGATCTCAAAAAATGCCAAATAAACATCATTCTCAAAACTGTACTGTAGCATTTCGTGTGTGTGTGTGTGTGTGTGTGTGTGTGTGGTGTGTGGTGTGTGTATATGTGTGTGTGTGTGTGTGTGTGTGTGTGTGTGTGTGTGTGTGTGAAGGTCATAGGCTGATATCAGAATGTCTTTCTCAATCAGTTCTCCACCTTCCTTTCTGAACCTGAGATTAGTATTTTGACTAGGCTGGGTAGCCAGTGAGCTCTGGAGTCAGATGCACACAGACATGCCTGGCTTTTGCATGGGTGCTGGGAAATCTGAATGTAGGTCCTCATGCCTGCTTAGCAAGCACTGTACCCACCAGGAGCCATCTCTCCAGCCCTACACTTCAAGTGTTCCTTTAATTATATACCCAACCAGAAAACACTTGGCAAAATACTTTGAGGGTTCAATGTATGACATGTTAAAAATCCTCTAACATGACTCTCAGGTTATCATTAAAAACTGTGACAGAGGTGGACATGGTGGCCCAGGTCCTTAGCCTGGGGAGGCTAAGACAAGAGGATGGTAAGCTTGACAGCAACCTCAACTCCAGTGGGTTCAGAGGTAAGGAAGCCTGGCCTACAAAGTGAAACAAACAAACAAACAACAACAACAACAAACAGTGATGGAAGGTATGGGGACAAATCCACTGACTTCTGCCCAAAGATGGGCTTCTACTGGCTTAGTTAGCCATTGGCTGATGATCAATGTAAAGTTCACCTTTGGTTTGATATGCTTCTTCTTGTCAATCAAGAATACATATGGCAATTGATAAGAAATAAAGACCAGAAGTAGGAGCATGCTATAGGTTAAGAGGAAATAATTTTTTTCACATGAATTTTGTATCATTTTATATAGCAAAAGTTAAGGGAAATTGGATTTCAAATCAAATTTTAACAATGCAGCACGGTAAGAAACACAAACAAGCATCTGCACTGCATTTTAGTTTTCAACGTTTCAACTCTGACACAGGACCCATGAAGCACTAACTGTATCATCCTAAATGGTAGATTCATATAGAATAGAGAGGATTCATACCTCTGGTAGCATGCATTAATTACTCACTTGAGAAGCTGAATAGGAAAACTGGCAAAAATAATCAGCTGGCTGATGTTCAAGAAATGGGTTAAGTCCTGCCTTATAACCAGGGCTTAGGACTCCCATCCTCTATTGTTTCCCAGTTCTTTAAAAGCTGCATTCATGTATCTAAAATAACGGTAACATTTCTTTGCGCAATTCAATTTCGTTAGCTACACTGCGGGGGGAAACAAAGGATTCAGATGCCACGCCTAAATTTCAATTCTTTTAAGGGGTCTGGGAAAGATGTCATCCTTAGGATTTCAGTTCGGGGATCACAAGCCACGGTCATCCTAGGTTGAGGCAGCGCGATGCAGGAGAGGACAGAGTCCAGGCCCCTCGGGAAGCTCTCCGAGCCCCTTTGAGTGTTCTGGACCGCGCACGAGGCCTGCAAGCCTGGGCCCGTAGCGCGCGCGCGCCTAATCCCCGTACCTTAGGGTCATAGAGAACCACGGAGCAGGACGTGCCGAAGGCCAGTTGTCCTCCATGCCCGGAATTCCAACTCAAAGCTCCTCGAACCTGGTTCGGGCAGCAAAAGACATGAGACACCTGGAGCACAGGTACCACCATCATCTTGGCAGATCAGCGGCCGAGCCACTCCCGCCACTTCCGCCCCAGAGCGGAACTACTCTAGCTAGCCGCCGCTTCATCCCGCAGACCCCAGCCGGTCCGTATTTCCGAGGAGCCGGGGCGGGGCTAAGACGGCCCAGCCCCACAAGCCACGCCTCCCGGCCACGCCCCCGCCCGCTGGCGTGGTTCTACCCCGTAGCCTCTGCTTGCCTCGCGCATCTCTCCGACCGCTGCTCCGCGCGCGGGCCAGGCCCGACCGCTGGACGCGGGTCGCTCTCGAAGGAGCTGGCGGTCAGGGGCGGTTCCATCCGGCTCGGCTGCCCACAGCGGCCCCGGCTGGGTCGCGGTCCTGGCGGTGGAGCGGGAGGGCGCGAGGAGAGGACCCTCGCCCGCCCCTCCATCGCGGCGAGCCCGTGGCGTCTGAGAACACGCGGAAAAGCGGATCGGTCTTGGCAGACGGGGCTCCGGAGCTGCACTGCGCGTGCGCCACGCTGGTAGCAGCGGGAGGCGGCGGTAATTACCGATTGTCCTGCTTGGAGGAGGCGCGGCAACCTGGGACCGAGGGGTGGACTGGCTCATGATTCCGCCGATGCTCCGCGCCCTGTAAAGGTTTCTCGGAGACCGGAGCCGGGCTGGTTCCCAGCCCCCTCGGACCGCCCTCGGGGAACCTGCGCGCGGGACCCGGCGGCGGGACTTCGGGAGAGGTGAGTTCTGCACGACTGCCCCGGGGCGGCAGGAAGGAGCCCCGCAGGCCCGGATCCGCAGAGAAGGGGTGCAGGGGCCAAGCAGGGCAACGGAGAAGAGATGTTGCGAGGGCCCCGCCTGGAGCCCCTGCTTGCCCTGGATAGCTTCCCCTCCCAACCTGGAGTCCCCATGTGGGCTTGGGAACCCAAAACTAGGGACTTTCTGCGATGATTTAACTTCTCACCCACATTCAAGGAAGCTACTAATGTGTTTCATTACAGGAGCCCTCACAAGCAAGCTTTGTGCGCTTTTCCGTTTTCTCCACTGCCCCTTTTTTCAAGGCCTCTTCTTGTGGCTTGCTTGCGTTTTCCACACAGGCAGACTTGGCCTATAAGGAGATCCGGGAACCGGTCTGCGGCCCTCAGCATCTTCCTCTGGCTCAAGGCCAGATCTGCCCCACCCATCTAGTGACTCGCTTCTCCCCCGGGAATGATTTCTTCTTGAGTCTTTTTTGCCTATCATGTGAATTCTCAAAATGTGAGGTCCCGAAGATTGTTTGCAGGAATCTGGTCCTAGCTGGTTGTGTGTGCCTCCATTTACCTGGGTGCCTAGTATGATAATCAGCACTTGGGCAACAGGGGAGTTTAACAAGCACTTCCACTGTGTAACTCGTCCTTGCAAATAGATATTACCGGCTTTTCAGATGAGGTCATGAATGTGAGAACCTGCCAAGGAACTGCCTGGAAAATGGTAGTCTGTTGCTCCTGTATGGTTGAACATCCCTCAGTGTTTTTTGCTAGAGACATGGTTTAACATCCATCCAAAGATCTGACTATACTATACTGCCTCTGCTTAAATGAATTCTGCTTTTCAAGCTCCACTTGAAAAGGAGTGAGGACTCCCCTTTCAGGCATAGGCCTTGAGTTCCAGACATGTGATAAAACGTTCTCTAGCTAATGTGTAGCAAGTGAAGAACAATGTAGTGTGTTTTCATGAAGCTTAATTGACTTTGCTCAAAGAACTGTTATTATGCAGTCATTCAGAAGACTTGGGAAATCTCGAAGCACTGATGGGAAATCGGGTCTGATTCATTGCTGAGTGGAGGTGAGGAGCGCTCTTGTGTGTGCTCCAGTCTGAAGATGGCTAGAAAATAACTTGATTCACACAACAACAAAAACTTGGTAAAATTATGTGGGGAATAAAGGACATCATGGATGTGTGTCCAAGGAAAATGAAACCACTTTTTAAAAATTCCAAGTGTCAGTTGCAACTGTTGTTTCTTCTTTTTCTGCCTGTTTTCTGTAACTGTTTATGAAATGGTGGTGATGGTCGGTGTGCTGAGGTTTGGTTTTGAGCTGTAGTTCTCAGCTCCGTGAGAAGCTGACGGTGTGTGTGAGCACATGGATCTTTTCCTCCGGCTGTTGCCTCCGCAGGACTGATTATTGTCTCTCTGTTCATGACTGTGCTGCATTTGCTTCAGGTGTTGTAGCATGCAGGGGGAGACCCCAGGCTCCTAGTTCTCTGTGTCTCCACAGTACCTCATACTACCCTGGTCAGAACAAACAGTGCTGTGTGAACGGTGACAGTGTAAATTAGGCATCAGTTTTCAGCATGAAGTTTCTTAAATTGTTTTAGAAGTGTGGTAAAGAATTTTCCCCCTTTTCTTTTCTAGGAAGGTGCAATGGCCAGAAATTTATTTGTAATCATGATCCTGACCTTTGCCCTTTGGGTCACGAATCCCCTTCATGAACTACAAGCAACAGCTGCCTTCTCTCAGACCACTGAGAAAATTAATTCAAATTGGGAATCTGGCATTAATATGGACTTGGCGGTTACCATGCAGCGACATCATCTGCAACAGCTTTTCTACCGATATGGAGAGAATGATTCCTTGTCAGTGGAAGGGTTCAGAAAATTGCTTCAGAACATAGGCATAGATAAGATTAAAAGAATCCACATACACCATGACCATGATCATCACTCTGACCATGATCATCACTCTGACCATGAACATCACTCTGACCATGAGCATCACTCTGACCATGAACATCACTCTGACCATGAGTACCACTCTGACCATGAGCATCACTCTGACCATGAGCACCACTCTGACCATGAACATCACTCTGACCACGAGCGCCATTCCCACCGCAGCCATGCTGCTGGTAAAAACAATCGGAAAGCCTTTTGCCCAGATCATGACTCTGATAGTCCAGGTAAAAGTCCTAGAACCAGCCAAGGGAAAGGCTCTCGCCCACCAGAGCACGGGAATGGTAGAAGGAACGTCAAGGAGAATGTCATCACAAGTGAGGCGACCTCAGCTGTGTACAACACTGTCTCTGAAGGAACTCAGTTTCTAGAGACCATAGAGACTCCGAAATCTGGGAAACGCCCCAAAGATGTAAACCCGTCTACCCCACCCAGCATCACAGAGAAGAGCCGAGTGGGTCGACTGAGTCGGCTAGCCAGTAGAAAAACCAACGAGTCTGTGAGTGAACCCAGAAAGAGCTTTATGTATTCCCGAAACACGAATGACAATATTCAGGAGGTAAGATAAATGCTGTGCAGTATTTAATGCACCTGTTTGTCCCCTCTAGGGATTGATGTGAAATAAAATAAAACAGTTGTTACAAAAGGGACTTTTCTTCCTTCTCAGCAAGGCTTTGGCTCACAGTGTACAGACTAGCATAAACATCCTTGAGGACTAGCTGTCCAGGAGAGTAGTCCTGCCTGCTGAGTTTTTCTGATACAGTTTATTATAACTATAAAAAGATGCCAAGGTTAATTGTGGAGAAAGGTTAAGGATAAATAATGTTAATATATAGACAATGGGGGAGCTGCAGGAGCCAGACTTAGAATCCGTGTTTTAGGGAAAAGCAAGGTTAAGGTGCTGAGAACACAAGAGCACCCGTGTGTCTCTTCTTGGCAGAAAGATCCAACAGTGGCTTGGGGAGTGATTGAAGGTAGAGCAAGTTGGGCCAAGAATGTCAGGTAGTAAAATTCCCAGATCATGTGGCTTTTCTAAAATAAACTTTCCAGTGCTACATAATTTACTTTGGCTAATGAATATCAGGCCAAAAAAAAAAAAAAATAAGCATTAGTTGTTAGTCTTTAATGATCAACTGTAGGTACTTCATTCAAGTCAGTATATGACTATGAAGTTTGGAGTAATCATAGGAATGGCCACAGCCATGGCAACACTGAAGTTGTTCTGAGTAGTGTTGGTTAAGAATTGGGAGAGTCTGAAATATCTTTGTAGAAGATGAGAAACAGATACTATAACCAGATGAGCTTTGGGGGGGGGGGGTGTTAAATTGCATAGAGCAGTTTCTCTTCAAACTAAGCTTGTCATCCAATTAAACTGTTGAACGCATCTGCCTGCTGGGACAGGTTTGTTTTATTAACCAGCATTGCCCTCTGCAGGAGTCATCTGTATAATTTAAAAATCCCTCATTGAAGAGAATCATGTTGCCAGGCACATAGACAAAGCTGAGCTGAGTTTTTGCAAGTAGTATCATAGCAGGAAGAGCAACATGTCTTGGGCTTGTTTGGGCCAAGACGGAGGGCATTAGTCCCCAAACCTATTTCTCAATCTCTAATGAATCCCATTTCGAAATTAAAGCTCGTTTCCTTAATAGCTTTAAACAATGAGTTAACAGGCTTGTGAATCTCCACTTATCCCCAAGCTCTTCCACGGGAGGTTTTCTCCCTTGGTGACTTGTGATGTGGTCAGGGGAGAATGACATACCATCATTGTGACTTAGTATCTTCTTCAGGCTACTAGAGGCAGATTCCAAAGTGCTGAAGGCAAAGCCGACTTTAACTCGCATTAATTTTGTCAACAAAGTAGCTTCAGTAGAGCTTAAGGGTGATGAGTCAGACTACATTTTGGAGTCTCCTAGTGGGGACTTCTCTCTGTGATTGTTACTGCCTTGTGTCCTTCAGTGTTTCAATGCAACAAAGCTGCTGACATCCCATGGCATGAGCATCCAGGTCCTGCTGAATGCAACGGAGTTTAACTATCTCTGCCCAGCCATCATCAATCAAATTGATGCTCGGTCTTGTCTGATTCATACAGCAAGTGAGAAGAAGGCGGAAATCCCTCAGAAGACCTATTCTTTACAAATAGGTAAATCTGCCATTGTTACATAAGAATAGTTTTTAGTAGATATACTTATGTGTACTTCCCTTTATATTTGAGATTATTTTTCATTGTAGCTCTAGATACAACATACTAGTTGTTCTGTGCCCTGAATGTTCTGAATATAAATTTTGAAAGTGCATTTGCCTCCTTTAAAAAGGCATGGGGGTAGGTTAAGAGCACTGACTGCTCTTGCAGAAGACCTGGTTCAGTTCCTAGAGCCTACCTGGTGGCTCACAGCCATCTGTGACTCCAGT